CACATGTCCAGCATCTCAGAGTTCTTACTTGCACTGGAGCCACCCTGCCTCTTATTTTTTCACAGGTGACCCATCAGCGTTTCCTGGACCTTTTTCCTTCTCAGTAGGGGGCACCAGCGTATTAACTGACTTTATCCCCAGTTTACAGTCTCACTCTGCTGTACACCACCGAGCCTTGTGCCCGAACTCGCCACAAGTCGTGCAGTTTATCCCCAAAAGACCTTGGGTCGCCTCCATAGTTTGTCGGACAGTCACGGGCCCGATGCCCACCGTACTTGTAAGTCCAGCAAACGAGCCCATATCGGCCCAGTGTGGGCTTGTGAAACCCATAACGCAGATCCCAGACTCTCCTATTGGGAACTGCTTCAGCCTTCCAGTCCTCTTCCACCTCTTCTTTCGGGTCCCGTATCTGGATCCGCACCTGGTCTTTCTTTTTCATTACTACTTCCTACCTACACCCCATCTTATTCTATCCTAGAGTTGTTCACTGGTCCAAGCCGCCTCTATGGCTGTGGCCAGGCTGACCAGTCCCAACTTCAGAACATCGCCCCTTAGGTCCCTGTCACTCAGCGCGCCCACATACACATTGGCCAACAAGGCCTGAATAGGATCACTGTCCTGAGTCACCAACTTCGGAACAGCTAACGCCACTAGCCCCATAATTCTTTTCCCCCAATTCCTCATTAGTCTCTCCTTGTTGCTGTAGCTGGAATAATTTCCTGACTGCCTCAATGGCTGTACGCTCACTTGCGTATTGCCGCACCAAAGCGTATTTAAGCTCTGTCCACGTCAGGGCCGGGTTTTCTTTGGACACCTGCCCCGCTGCGGCGTTGTAAATTAGGAGCACCATTTCTTGTTCCGCGAGGCCATAGATCACCTGCGTCTTCTGAATGGACAGAATCCATTCCTGCAGGTCCACAGGATTTCCTTTATAAGTAGGTAGCTTCATGCTACCTATCAGCCTCCTGAAACCTATCGATATTTCAGGAACTCCCATGTCCCCATGGTCATTGGTGGTGTCTGATCCTGCTACGCTCATCTTAGCGTCTAGTCAACTACCACTTTCCCACGAGAAGAGAGAGCGATAACAGAACGAAAGGAAAAATACTTAACACGGTGGTGGCGCTTCAACTGCGTACAAAGTCAACAAAGTCAAAACAAGATCAACAAGATAACTGGCAGATCTAAGTGCAATGTGCAAAAAAAAAAAGGGAAACCAAAAGTGACTTACTTGAGGTCCACCGCTCCGTGTTTTATTTCTTTTTCCTCCTTCTTTTGCTTCCTTCTCTTTTCCTCCTTATGTCACTTTTAGACCAATATAGTCTGAAGACTAGAGTCCTTTCTGGTCTTACTTGGTCCCAACTGGACAAAACAAATGCAACCTTCTCTCCTCTTTCAGCCAGCTGTGGTAATTCCCATGGGGTTATCTTGGTCAACACGGCACCAGTCTAAGACTTTTGCCCCAGCCCCTCAACCTCTGACATCTTACTCTCTAGGTTGAGGTGTCTACTCGGTCCTAACCGTACTTAGGTCCCTTGAGCATCAGTGGATTATTCGACCGGTCCACTGGTTTAATCCTGCTTCCTGCCCACATTGTGTTTGGTTTGATCCAGAAATCAGAAGTGATGTTCATCCATTCATGGTTGACTGAAGATGTAGACACGGCTAGAGAGGATGCACTAAGAAATTTAGAATGCAGCAAAAAAAAAAAATTAATATCTGCAGGAACCCTCACAAACAGCTATTCACTGTTTGAAATGTTAATGTCTTTTATATAGCAGAAAAGAATAGTATAGAAAAGAAACTGGTTACAGAAAAGAAAAGTAATTGACGTAAAAACACATACACTGGATTCTGGACAGAGTGTGTTATGATTAACTTGTTGTTAAATCATCTCTGAACGATATATGACTCTTGTGAATAAGATTTCTATGCACAGCTTCATAGTGGTGTTCCTCCTTAGCAGTAGTAACAGTAGTAGTAATTATCGTGGTGGCAGAAGCAGAGGTACTTATATCAACAGTACATGTTAGCAGACGCTTCGTTCCAATCTCTGACGTCACTTTCTCTCCTTCTTGAGTCTCCAACTCTACTCTCCACTGTCTCTGGCCCAACTCTTGCTCGGGATAATTCTCTTCTATTTCTCTCTTCCGTCTGCCCGCTTGCCCGTCTTTCTCTTCCTTCTACTTCTTCTGTCTCAATGCTTGCTTGTCTGTGTTTTCCAGTATAACTACACGTTTATATAGATAAGCCAGGCTGGTTACAACTGACCCTTAGCCCTGCTACCTCACACGCGATTATAATGGGGTTCTGGCTGCTTCAACCAAAATCACGTGAATTCTCAAGTTCCTTCTAGCTTACTCAGCTCTATTTCAATTTTTAATGATGACCCAGATTCAATGGGTACAACTTCTGGCCTAGATCAAATTTCCCTATCAGTAAACAAAATGCTCTGATTTAATTTTGCTATTCCAAATCTATTCCAATTTCTCTAAAAAAAAAAAAAAAAGTGTGTGTGTGTCCCAAACTCTCTCCGTCACAGTAATAAAACCCAACACTCCCAGATAAGAGCAAAGAGTGGAAAAAAAAAAGGGGCCAACATTGGTAGGGATTGATATAAGGTTTGTTTTTTTTTTCATACCTATGTTTGAACAATGGCTTGATGTGTTTTGTTTTTAACATCTTTTGACCTGGGTGATGACAATGATAATGTTTTTTTTCGCCGCATTTCTTTCGTATTTCCCATCACTGGGACATTTAGCCATTCCTTTTATCCAATAATGTTCACACAAATTTAAAGAGAAAGGGATGAAGTTTGAATGATATTATTTTGAAGTGAAAATAAATATTTTCTCATAAAAAAAAGGTGATTTTTCTCAGAAAATTGGCCATAATTTCTTAATCCTAACCCCCGAGTGACATTTTTCACAGCCAAATTGAAGATTAATGACCAGTGAATAATTCCATGTGCAAACAATATCTGTCTGGATCCTATAACGTGGTTTGAAAACCTCCAGAAATTTACTGATTGATCAAAAACTTGTATGTAATTGTGTTTTTCATGGTCAGTTTCCATTATTTCATCTTGATGATGTAATTTTTGGATAGCCAAGTCATCAAGGATTCAGGAAAACAGTTTGGCACAGGTTTGTTTTAAGAACTTTACATTCTATGAGGTGTTTAAAATGTTACTGATGAATGGGATTTTTCACTGAATATTTCATTTATGCGCCATGTTGGATTTTCCTATATGACAAAAACAGTGGTTTTAAACAGCCATGAAGCAACAACAGTCTGTTTAATGCTTGGGTGCAATTTTCAGGCCTGAGGAATGCATTCAAGCAAGAAACAGACTGTTGATGCTTGGTGTTAACCTCCAGTGTCCACTTTTAAATTTACATACACTCTCCGATATTGAGCACTTTCACCCATAAATATATTAGGTTGGTGCAAAAATAATGTCGTTTTTTGACGTTCAACTTCAAAAGATCATAACTCCTTTCATAATAGACTTTATTAATCGAAATAAGAACCATTAGAATCGACACATTCTTGCCAACGAGAAACAAGTTTATTTATCCCATTAGCATACAAATCTGGAGTTCTGGAAGCGATGAAGTCGTTGAAGGCTGATTCGGCATCATCTCGGCTTTTGAAGCACTTTTCGCACAGGAAGTTGTCGAGATGCTTGAAAAAGTGATAATCGGTGGGCGAGAGGTCCGGTGAATATGGCGGATGAGGCAGTCTCGTAGCCCAATTCGTTCAACTTCTGCAGGGTCAGTTGAGCAACATGTGGGCGAGCGTTTTCATGGAGGAGAATTGGTCCCTTCATATTGACCAATCTCGGGCACATACGTTGGAGCTTCTGGTGCATTTCGTCAATTTGTTGGCAGTACTTCTCCGCTGTAATTGTTTTGCCCGGATTCAAGAAGCTGTGATGGATGAGACCGGCCGCAGACCACCAAACAGTCACCATAACCTTTTTTTGGTGCAATTTCGGCTTCGGGAAGTGTTGTGGAGCTTCTCCAGCATCAAACCACTGTGCCGAATGTCGCCGGTTGTCGTAGAGGATCACACGTCACAATCCGCTCGAGAAATGGGTCGTTTTTGTTGCGCAGAAGGAGCGTAGAAGACACCTCAAAACAACGATTTTTTTGATTATCGTTCAATTCATGCGGCACCCATTTATCCAACTTTTTTGACTTCCCTATTTGCTTTAAATGGCGAACGACTGTTGAGTGGTCGACTTCGAGTTCAACAGCAACTTCTCGTGTGGTTTTGCGAGGATCGGCTTCAATTAAGGCTTTCAAATGTTCGTTATCAACCGCAGTCAGCCGGCCGCGACCATCTTCATCGTCGAGGCTCTCGTCACCATTGCGAAATTTCTTGAAACACCATTGTGCCAAACGTTCGTTAGTGGTCCCTGGGCCAAACGCATCATTGATATCACGAGCTGTCTCGCAGCTTTTCGCCTAGTTTGAACTGGAACAAGAAAATCGTGCAGATTTGAATTTTGTCCATGCTGTCAAAAGCCTGCAAAAAATGAATGAAGAGATTGAGAACGGTAACGAATAACATGTTTCGATAAAGAAAAAAATTGCTTCAAAATGATATATAACATGGCTATATATATCAATGAATTAATTCAGAAATCATATATAAAAGTATGTGAGAAAACGACATTATTTTTAAGCCAAACCTAATAGCATACCGTAAAACTATATTTTTATCATTCATATATATATATATATATATATATATATATATATATATATATATATGATAAAACTTTATAGTTGGAGTAAATTATTTAATTTAAATATAGAATATCAGAAATTGCAATATGAAACCAACATTTGAATTTTTACAGTGTACACATTTGATATTTTATCAATTTGCTAGAATGTTAATTTTTCCACAATCAAAACTCTTGTTTTGCTTTTCTATATGTTTGATATCTTTTAGGCAATTAAATGAAAAAACTTTTTTTTAAAATTCAGGTGATTGGAACAGTATGGGAGACTATTTGTCCTTCATTCCAAGCAATACATATGAAAACTTCTTCTTTCGTGCTGTTTATTCTGTTCACAATGCAAATTATTCTCAAGCATGTCAGGTAATTGATTCCGTGCCATTTAAAAATATTTGTAAAAAAAGAAATGAATGCATAAAATAAAGGGGAAAAACATCATAAATTATCACTTAACTGATGTAAGAAATCATTGAAGTCATCAACTTAACATTGCAATCTTTATTGTTATTACATATCTCTTCAGATACTATATTTGATGTTTATTTGATTTATATAAAAGTTAAGTTTGCCTCAAACATTTTTCTTAATTGTTTGAAAATTTATTTTTTGTTTGTTCTAAAAAATTTTTCTTTCTTTCTCTCTTTGTAAACAGTTCATTGACAAAGCCAGAGATATTCTTGATACTGAATTGACTGCCATGGCAGGAGAAAGTTATGCAAGAGCTTATGGTGTAAGTGAAGTTTTTTTGTACTTTTTTTCCAATGTAACTTTTCATGATTATTTCAATTGACCAATTCCTCTCATATCTGTTTTTACTCTTCTCACCAGCCATTGGTAAATGCTCAGATGCTGTCAGAATTAGAGGAGGTTATTCAGTACAAGTTAATACCTGAGCGCCGTGAAGTTATAAAACAGATGTGGTGGGATCGATTACAAGTGAGTCTTGTCTTTTTATAAAATAAGAAATTACAAAATTATTTTATTAAATAACCAGATAAATATAATGAATGGTTGACCATTAGTGTTTTACAAAGTATGTTTTAAGTTAAAATTGAAAAAAACCTTTTAATTTGGTAATGGTTTGTCAAATGTACTGAAAAATAAAAAAATAATTTCTCTTTTTGTTTAAACTAGTTTTATTGAAAATCTTTAAAGGCAGTAGTAAATTATGTAATATGATTTTATTGATGCATTTCTTTTTGCTTGATTAAGGAAATATTGTAAGGGGACATTTGGACATATATATAGATATATATATATATATATATATGTGTGTGTAGACGATTTATAGAAATATTAATCGGCAATACAACTATGCTCCACTATAAAATAATACAAACTACAAAATTCTGGAAGCCCTTTATATAAAACATTTCATAAAATCAATTATGAGTATAGTAACAGTTCTAATATGTTTATAACAGCAAGATTTTTTAAAATATCTAAATTGTAATTGTTAAAACTACAAGTAAAACTATTTTAAAATGTGTAATTACAATTTTTAATAAGAATTTACATAAATTAAGTTACCTCCTTTACATAGTGGTAAATTTTTCAAATTTTAGTGTTCATGCTCACACATATTCATAACTTACATTATTTCTTTTTCATAGCAATTTACCCCTGAAGATAATGTTGGATGAAATTGAAAGTATGTGGGGAAAATAAAAACTATAAGAATAACTATACTATTTTTCTTACTCAGTTTTGCAACGACACTAGGAAATTGATACTTGAACTTGAGAAGATTAAAATAAAAATAGACATAATATGTCCAGATTATTCAACCAAACATGCCTGAATGAAATATATATATATATATATATATATATATATATATATATATATATATATATATATATATATATAATTTTTGAATGTTTTTTAGCTATAGAATACTAAAATGCATTCCTACTGAAAAAGAATTAGTGTATTCACTTCAAAATGAAAAAAGTATTTTTGAATTTTCTATTGTTTGGTGACTTAAATTTTGGGATTAGATATTTTCTATGTAAAAATGTACTTACTGCTTTAAGTAATAAAGTAAGTTTAAAAAATTAGTTAAAAGAAAACTATATTTTATTTAACAAATATTTTTTATTCAAAAATTGATTGACTTTGCTGTGTAATTTATCTGCTATTAATTGGTTTGAGTAAATTGCTACATTGATAGAGGAATGTTTTGTATTAATAATTATCCCACTGTAATGGTGTATATTGAAAAATATTTTGTCTGTTATCAATTTTTTTTTTCTTAATATACTTTTTTTTTTTTTCCCCAGGGCTGTCAACGTGTAGTAGAAGATTGGCAGAAAATTATTCAGTTACGATCTTTGGTAATAAGTCCACATGAAGGTGTGAAAACTTGGCTAAAATATGCCAGCCTCTGCAGAAAAAGTGGACGATTAGTATGTATTAATAATTGCATTATTTGTTTTAATCTTAAACCTACTGAAAACAATGTAATGACCATTTAATAGTGCAGATGCCATAACTAACAAAGTTATTGAACTTTAAAGCAAAATAGTATTTCCAATTCATTTTTGAGATTAGTAATCTAATTGTTGCAGGTCACTATTTTAAATCCACGTTTCTTTTTGTATGTGGAATTTACTATATTTTTTTTTTATTACTTCTTTTACTACATATTCCCAGTGAAGTGCATTAATTATGCATATTTTAACCAGGTTTGCTTTGAAAATATTTCATTATTTATTTTCTCTTGCATGGAAGAATTTCCTTAGTTTATTTTTTAGTTGTTTGTAAATGATTTTATTTATAACAAATTTGTTTTGGAAAGTAGGGATTTATTTAATGCGGTTTGATCAACTGTTCTGATGTTCCTTACATATTAATCATTAAAATTCCTTCCAATTATTTAAATGTTCAAACTACAGCTAATCTAGCAAATGAGAGATTCTCTGGAATATATATTGGCCTTCTTTAATTATTGTAAAAATATTTATTTTGTTTATTATAAAATGTTATTTCTTTTTAAAATCCATATGAAAGGAAATATTACTATTTGATAAAAATGAATGAGAAAGTGCTATAAGCTGAAAGTTGTGTTCTGTCTTTTTTTTTTTTTCTCTCATGGCTGTTTGTTGAGCTGGATTTATATTTTTATGCAAAAGAGTGTCCAAGTTAAGTAAATTATTTTCATCCTGTTTAGTTTGTGGGCACCTATTATAATTGTCATGTTTCTTGAGATTGTAAGAGAATTTAAAATTTTTTTATTTTTTTATTTCATCATTTGGACCACAAGTTATTTTGAGGAAAAAGAGGTAAAATGTTGAGGAAAATTAGAATAAACAGCAAAATGGTGAGGGGAAACTGCATGGGTAAAAAAGGTGAAACTGGTGGTAAAGTTGTAGTAAATTCCAGTGTTGTCTTCTTCATGTCATTATATTTGGCTGGAAACCTGATTCTTTACTCAGAAATATTGAAAATTGGTCAAAGGAAGCATTCACAGAGAAGGTATTTGTTACAGCTGGAAAGGATGAGATAGATCACGCAGCAGGTAGATTAGTATGTGTATGACATTACAGTGTTGGTGGCGTTAACTGGATTTGCAGGAAAGGTGTTGGAGAGAATAGTCAAATTTGTATTTGGTTTTCCTGATTACATTTTGATAGGGCCTGTGGCAGTTTCCTAACATTAAAATCATGGGCATGAAATATTTGGTAGCAATGACTAGTGTGCTACTAATGAATAAATCTTGTGTGTAGTGCACTCTAGGACAGAAAGAAAGGCAATATGCTGCAATTGGTGTGGAACCAAAAGTAGAATCAGGAAGTGTTACAGGTATTGGGGACTTTATATATGGTTAAGGATTGTAAAAAAACTGAAACCCAAGTTGATATGCTACTGGTATAGCTAGGTGGACCACACAGCAACCTCTTACTATTAGGGTAACTGTCAGAGGTGGCTCCTGTGCTGGTAGCTCTACCCCTTTGATTCAATAAAAGTACTGTTATGTACATTGTCAGTAGTGAAAAAGATGGTAGACAGAGGTGAAAATCCTTGTTGATTGGATTTGCACAACATTGTTGACTCATAAGTTGCTGGATAAATGGAATATGATGAGTAGAATAAGACAGATTAGATGCAGAAGTACCAGTACTATAAAGCTTGTTATGCATGGATTGCAACTAGCTTTTTTTTTTTTCATTAGCTCTTATGTAGATGCTATTTGAGTGGATGAGATTGTGGTTTCAGTAGTAGCTGAGGTCATGAGTCACTTGAAGGAAGTTGGATTGACTGCAAAACTTCAAGCTCAAACTGGAAAGTCATAAGGCAGGTAAGGTAATGGATGAGATTCAATGAAAGACAAATTGAGCGTGATGAAATGGTATGAAAGTGAGACATGAATGCCAAGTTGTAAATAGATGAAGTGATCTTTAAAATCAAGTTTTGTGAAAGTGAATACTTGAGGGAGGAGCAGGATGAGATTGAATAGGCTGGCAGGAAAGAATATAAGCTAAAACAAGAAGGTTGTATTCTTTTTTGTCTCTTGACTGTTGCCAAGTTGTATCTATGGCATTTTTGTGCATGGCCATGTCTAATGAATGTGCCTCAAGCAGACATTACATACTAATATTTGTAATGATTTTTAATGTTTAAGTTAGTCTCATTTTTACTATTACCATCATAATTGTCTTCCCTCATCATCATCATCATTATTATTAAACAAAATGATTGATGTAACTCTTCCAATATTTTTCAACATTTAAGAGAAGAGCATGATTTAAGAAAACTTATACTATTATTACACTTATTTTTCAGGGCTTATCTCATAAAACCCTGGAAATGTTAATGGGAGTGGATCCTTCAAAGCAACCACATAAACACCTTCCCACTGACATGCCAATGGTGACCTTTGCTTACATTAAACATATGTGGTTGTGTAACCAGAAGGTAAATAAAATTCATTTTTTTTTTAAAGTTTTAAATTGTTTAATTAAATTATTGATTATTTTTTTGAATCCCATAAGAACTGACTACAAATAAAACTCAAAAGCTAAAACAAATTTTAGTAACAGGAATATTAAAGGAATTCACCTTGCATAAATTCTGATTTTACTGTTGTAAACTAAATTGTTTGAAAAGTTATGTTCTATATATGAATTTGTATAAGTAATGTGCAATAAAGTGCATTTTTTTCTTGATATGTGAAAACTTTCTTTTCAGGGAAATGTAATGGTTATTAAAGCATTAATATTTTGGATATAGATCTTAATGGCAGTGATCTTAAAAATAAACTTTTATTCATTGTTATTATTAAATGCATAATAAACTTGTATATTATTCAATATTCTTTTCAGCAAGACAGCTTTACAAAGCTGCATCTTTTTATCCAACAAACACTTCTCCAGAAAGAAGCCCATCTTCAGAACAGTGGGGATACTGCTGCTCTCACAGAGATTCGCAAACTCTTATCTAGGTAATTTCATCTGTTCATATAATGTTTACAATAATTGACTGATTATGATTGGAAAGTGTAAAAATATAATAGAAAAGTTGTATATATTTAGTTAAGTTACTTTATAACTATGTGTCAAATAGTCTTCTAAGGATAAGTAATAAAAAAGCAGATAAATCAAAGGAAGAAATAGTTGTTAATGGAAGATTATTGTTAATTGGCATGGTTACTATGGGGTCTTTTCAGAATTTTGACATAGTTTGATGGTTGTTTTTTGTCATGGTTACATCATCAAGAAGAAATAACTCCCCACAAATCATACTCAAAATGCTGTGGTCATAACAGTTGGTTGTTTTGTCTACGGTGATACAGATTCATTTGGCATGTTTGGTCTTTTAGGGCAGGAAAGTAGCAATCAAATTTGAAGTTGCCTAACACACTTAACATTTGAGATAGCATACCACCTTCTTGTAATGCTTTAATATAAATGGTCTAATTTTATCAATTTTTGTATAGAGGATGTCAGACAAAGTGCACATATTCAAAAAAATCATTCCACATCTCTATCACACAAAAATTGTAGTTGTTTTGTTTTTTGGGGTTTTTTTTTTTTTTTTTTTTTTTTAATGAATATTTGATTTTTAAGTGATTTTTGTGTCAAGAAAGTCAACACTGGTGAGAGAACTTGTGAAAAAACAGTATCTTCTGTATAAAAATCATCAGGAAATTTTAGATGCTGGACTTTTTTTTTTTTTTTGAGGCTGAGGCCATAGGTAATTCACTAGATTTGTCTGTCTTGGCAATGGGATGCTTATTTGTACCAGAAGCAAAAATGGTTTCAATGTTGCAAAAAAAATCTTTAAAAAAATATGAAAAAGTACTATGAGTATATTTTGGAAAATAAGTTAATGTGTTATTAAAGAATTTTTTTTCTTTAAATATTTTTTGGAATTATAAATCTAAGACACTGAGTAGTTTCGTATCACATGAACAGGATCTAAAAACCATAGTTTATTGCTAAAGTGGACATGAGAGGATAGACAGGTTTAGTAACGGGTGTTGGAGTAGAAATTGGAAGAACAAGACAAAAATGAAAACAATTTAAGTTTCACAAATGAAACAGTTACGATTTTTTTTTTTTTTTTTTTTTTTTTTTAGAATGTTGTAAAGTTTGTTAAAGTCAAATGTCTCTTAAAGGAAATGAGTGTAAACTTGTGAAAGTCCTTGTAAGTAAGCTTTTTTGATGCTTTGATGAAAGATAAAGTTAAGTTCTTTAAATGTAATGAAAGAAATGTCTTCCTCTTCCAATTTCTACATCAGCATCTGTTAATTAATTTGTTTATCTTCCATTGTCCACTTTAGTAGTAGTAAACTATAGTTTTCAGCTGCAACTCATCTGCTATGAAGCCACCCAGTGTCTTTGAAAATTTATAAAAATATTTAAAAATAGATCTACATAAGGCTAGGCAAAAATTTTAGGGAAAATGTAATAACCACTTTTATTTTAAAAATGTAATTAAAGTAAAAAAAAAAAAAAAAACATATTCAAGGCATATAAATTTTTAATAAAATCTCAGACATATTAAAATATCAGTTTGATTCATCAATTATTGTATTGTATTCTAGGTGCTACCTGAAACAAGGAAATTGGTTACTGGAATTGCATGGCATTGATGATGTGTCTATTGCTAAAGCTTTAGAGAGTTTCAAAATGGCCAAAGACAGAAATCAGAATTGGTATAAGGTAAGATGTTTTACATTTAAGTTTTCAAAACTGATAAATTGAAAGACTTTCAAAAAGACATTTGCAATCTCTATTTGTCAGATATTTGTTCGAAATTCTGAATCTTGAAATGGATTGGTGTTGATATACATTCTTCTGGAGATTTTACATTTAAAATTTTTCAAACTGGTATTTGTAGTTAATAGTAATTGTTAATTCATTTTTGTTTTTTTTATTCTTTTATTGATTACCTGTTATAATTTAATTTATTGCAGGCTTGGCATGCCTTAGCCCTTACCTACTATGAGGCTGTCCTCTACTATAAAAGGAAGGAAACCTCAGCTGCCAACCTTCCAAGTGTCTCGTGTCAACCAGGTGCTGAGGCAATGACAAGACTTTCTGAACCACCTGCTGACCTTGTCAGCAATGTCAGAACTCATGTAAATAGAATATTGATTAATTTGCCTTTTTTAAGCATTTCCAATTTCTTTTATCATCTTTTTGAGTAAATTTAACAGATTTTTTTTCCTTTTTAGGATGAATGATTTTCCTATTCAATAAATCAAAATATTTTTACACTTGCGTAGTCTTTTGTATATGAAAGCCTAATCAAGAATTATTTTGGTATCTCACCACTATAAAATAAATGTATTCAGAAAGCTTTTTAGAAAAATAAATTTATTGAAAAAATTTTTCAGACATCAATGCAGAATACTGCCAAAATCCTTGCTCACTGTGTTCCTGCTGTACGTGGCTTATTCAAGGCAATTGCCTTATCAAATCAGAACAGTTTACAAGATACACTCAGGTAAGTTAGATATACAATAATGATTGAACTATGAAGTATTAAATGAATGCTTTTGAGATACTGTAAAATTTAATGAAAAGTATTTCATAAATGAATGTTTTCTTTTAGTAGCAAATAATACCTAGTCTTGATAAATTTAGCTGTTTTATTCAATAATTTTGTATTCTAGATCCGTAGAATGTAAAAATTTTTTACCACTTTTTGTTCAATAAAAATACAGAAAGGGGTTTTTAGTGACATTGTATTTGTTTGCATTTAACAGGATAATTAAAAAAAAAATTAATGAATTTTTTGTTCATATATTTGAAAGAAAATTACCTTTAATTATATACTTAGATTATTGACCCTGTGGTTTGACTACGGCCATTATCCCGAAGTGCATGATGCTCTTGTGGAAGGTATAAAAACCATGCAAATCGAGAACTGGTTGCAGGTTTGTTCTTATGTTTCTTCTTTTTAATTTACCTTTTGTTTAAGAAGTATTTCATTTTCTTATGAATTTTTAATATTGAATAGGTTTATATGATATATAGAAAGGTTTATATTTTGCAGTTTTTAAATTTCTTAATAATTGTGATATAAGTTTCAAGAATCATATTTAATTCATTTTTGAATTCATAAACAATATTACAAATGAAGTAACATTTTATATCATTAGGTGGATTTAATTTTAAATGTTAGATTAGGTTGTATTTGTATTTCAGTAGTTTTTAGAAATTTAAAAATGAATTTCCTCAAATATGCATTAGTTAAATATATGTTGAAAATATTTTAAGCTTGAGTTTATATGTCCAGATAAAAAACACTAACCCTTAAAATGAGTTTTATTTAATATTCTTAGGTCATACCCCAGTTAATTGCCAGAATAGATACTCCTCGGCATTCAGTTGGTCGTCTTATTTCCCAACTGCTTATGGATATTGGCAAAGCCCACCCTCAGGTAGGAAAATCAGCTGTCCTAAAATATGCAGGAACATGCATAACTTTGTTTAATTTTTGAAAATAAACACTTAAATATCTGAACTCTTCAGTTTTATCTCATTTCTGTCTGGATTAAATTTCATACATTTTTAAATGTAAATATAGACAAAACATAAATTATTTAAATGTATCAAAATTTATAATTTCCCATATACACTCACTCTCTTCCCAATATATATATATATATATATATATATATATATATATATATATATATATATATATATTTTTTAAAATTTTTTAAAATTTTTTTTTTTTTTTTAGTAATATTAAACCTTTTTAAGCTATTAATAGCACCATTCCATTATTTGGGTTATAGGCATTAATGGGTTAACAAAAATGTGTTTCTACTTTTGAAAATCAATTTGTGCCATTGTGTGTTTTTAACTACTGTATTTCATTATTGTTAAATAATAGCTTAATTATAACCATTTTGTTGATGATTAGAAAAACATAAAAATGGGTTTTACTGTCATGGCTTGTATCTATTTGACATTTCTAAAGACCACATTTTTAAAAATGTGAAAAACTTTACAATATGTTCCTGCAGTTTGAGATGTAATTTTCTTGTTTGATGTTCCAGGCCCTCATTTATCCTTTGACTGTAGCCTCCAAATCAAGTGTGTTGGCCAGACAGTCAGCTGCTAACAAAGTTTTGAAAAGTATGTGTGAGCATAGCAACACTTTAGTAAAGCAAGCAATGTTGGTAAGTAAAAATATTTTTGTTTAAAATTTAATCTAGATGATGTAAAATAAAAATTAAAAAAATTCTTTCTTAACTGGAACTTCATGTTAGGATGTTTAGAAGAGTGATTTTCAAAATAAATTGTATCCAGGTATTAGAAAATTAAAATAAGTGGTTGGTAAAAAATTTTAATGTCAAAGTGTTATTTCATGTTCATTTCTCTTGGCATGTTTTTTTCAGGAATTGACCTTGACCTTCCTATTTGAGTTAGATGGGTAAAGTACAGATTGGTGGGTGGCTCCTGAACTTTGGTTAATTTTTGTCCGGTGGACAAAGTGATAATTTACTAAGCTTAGCTTATTCTAACACAAAAACACAAATATGGGGTACCCAGTCAGAACAAGTCATTACTTAGTTATGACTAACCAGACTAACCTTGCTAACCATTACACTATACTGAGGCATCCATGCTAGTGTTTGAAGAATGTAATTTCTGACATTTATATCTGAGTTAGAAAAATCTTATTTAACTCTTTTTGATGGTACCATTTTATTTGTTTAGCTGTTTCTTTGCTGCCATATCTACCTTACAATTTCATTTCAGTTTATTTTTTTAACATGTTGGTTGGTAAATATTTTCCTTGATTTAATCTTGTTGTGATGAAATAACCTGACTTCCCCATTCACCATAAATGGACGTTCCGGTGGCCGATAAAGTTCGACCACAGTAAACAGTCCAGAGAGGATCAACAGAGCGACAACAAAGGTCTTCGTTGACTACACCATTCGGTTAGCTTACTCCTACTCTGTCTCTGTATTTTGACATTCCTACATTTCGATATAAAGTATTATTATTTAAACCACCACTCGGGTTTACTTTGTTATTATATCTTTTTGTGAGATATAACGACTGGCGACGAGATATAACAGTTGGCGAACAAGGATTTGAAACTTACACGGAAAAACTTTTAGTACGCCTAACTATAACAGTTGACGACGAAGGATTGTGCAACTTACTTACTTGAAAAAAAAAAAAAATATATACGCTGAACGGATGTTCGAAAGCGGAGTCACAAGTCAAAAGGAAACTTTTTGAAAAGTAAGAATTTTTACTGTTAAATTGTGATTTGAAAAATATATATTGAACTGCGACTCAAAAACGAGCCGGTCTAACAATAATTATTCAAGTAAAAATTACGGGTTGTAAAAATATTACGGCTGTAAATTGTTTGTTGAGAGTGTTAACTGTCTAAAAAAAAAAAAAAAAATTTTTTTTTTTTTTTGTTGTTTTGCCGAATTCTAAAATAAGGATGGAGCAATTAGTCGAAATGACTAAAATGCTGTGTACAAGCTTGCAACAACAACAGTATCAAGAGTTACAACAGCAGCAACAAAAACAGCACCAAGACTTACAACAACAAATATTGCAACAGCAAAAAAGTCTCGAAAAAGTTTTGGAGCAGGCGACTGGAGAAAGAAAAAATACTGTTTTTTCTGCCGAAGGAATAACAAATTCATTATCCGAATTTATTTATGATCCTGATTCGGGCATTACATTTCCAGCGTATTTTAAACGTTTTCAAACTATATTTACCAAGAGATGTCAACATTGGTCGGATGAGGAACGAGTAACATTACTAGTACAGAAACTAGGGACAAACGAGAATAGGAAGTACTCAAACTTGATACTGCCCAGAAAGCCAGAAGAAGTTTCGTTTGAAGAAACTATAAGTATTCTGTCAAAAATATTTGACGAAAGGAATAGTCTGTTCCACACGCGATACAGATGCCTAAACATCGTTAAAGCAGATAACGAGGATTTTGTGACATACGCGGGAACAGTGAACTCTCTGGTTGAACAATTCAAGTTAGAAGAAATAACCAAAGATGTATTCAAGTGCCTAATTTTTCTTCAAGGACTAACTGATCCTAAATATAAAGAAATTAGGTCGAGAATATTAATAATGGTCGAGCAAGACTCGAAAATAACATTACAAAGAGTGACCGAAGAATGCCAACGTCTCATAAATGTAAAAAGGGATAATATACAAATTGAGAAAAGTGTTGCTAATGTTCGACACGTAAAAACTCGAAAAACTCCAAACGCCAAAAAGGTAGGAAAATGTGAGACGTGTGGAAAAAATAGCCATACCAAAGACACGTGTTGGTACAAAAATAAATTCTGCCAAACGTGTGGAAAAAAAAGTCACACCAAAGACGTATGTTGGTACAAAAATAAATTCTGCGAATCGTGCGGAAATAAAGGGCATAAATATACAGTTTGTCGAAAGAAAAGAAGAAAATTACAAGATGTAAGCCTGGTATTATCAGAAAAAGAAATTCAGAAAGGAAAAATAGAAAGTATGTAGATGTAATGTAAAATAATCATACAATTACTTTCCTACTGGATTCTGGTTCAGACATAAGCATCATTGACGAACAAACTTGGAAAAAAATTGGAAGACTTAAATTATCTGAAACCAAAAAAAACCGCTAGAGGGGTTTCAGGAAAGAAATTAAACTTTAAGGAGAATTAAAGTGCAATATTTCGTTATGTGGCAAGACTGCAAAAACGAAAGTGTATTTAATCCAAGGGATTAATTCATGTCTTTTTTTGGAATAGACTGGATAGTACTTTTTGATTTATTTGAACTCCCGATTAACTCATTTTGCAATGTAATAAACAGTGCGAAAAAACAAAAAAAATATTAAAAATGAAAAAAAATTCATAAATGAATTAAAGGAAGAATATCCCAGAGTTTTTTCTGAGGGATTGGGTTTATGTACCAAAACGGAAGTCAAATTTGAACTCAAGGAAAATGTGAAACCAATTTTCAAACCTAAGAGAAACGTCCCGTTTTCCTCCTTAGACACAATTAATAAGGAATTGGAAAGACTTGAAAAAATGGGAGTGATATCTAAGGTTGACCATTCAGACTGGGCCTCACCCACAGTTTATGTTAAAAAGAAAATGGAAAAATAAGAGTGTGCAGATTTTTTTTCAACTGGATTAAATGATTGCCTTAAGAATCACAGTTATCCACTACCTTCACCAGAAGATATTTTTTCAAATTAAATGGTGGGAAGATTTTTTCAAAAATCGACCTGTCTGACGATACTTGCAGATTAAAGTGAGTGACGAATGCTCGAAATATTTGTGTATAAATACACATAAAGGTATTTATAAGCTAAATAGGCTGCCTTTTCGCTTAAAAAGTCGCCCCAGCTTTGTTTCAACAGGTGATGGACACTATGCTGGCAGGCCTTGAGTTTGGTACCGCCTATTTAGATGACATTCTAGTCAAAAGTAAGAATGTTCAAGAACATAAAACGCACATCAGAGCGATATTCAAAAGACTAGAAGATTTTGGTTTCAAATTAAGCCACGAGAAGTGTAAATTCTTCATGGAAAGAATTACGTATCTCGGACAAGTAATAGACAGTGAAGGCAGGAAACCGGACCCACAGAGGGCCGATGCAATTAAAAACATGCCTGCACCCGACACAGTTCTTGAAAATTACAATCGTTTCTGGGGTTGGCACAATATTATGCAATATACATACCTAAAATGTATGATTTAAGAGCCCCCCTCAACGAATTGTTAAAAAAAGACAAAAAATGGTTTTGGTCAAAAGAGTGCGAGACGGCTTTTCAGAAAATAAAAAAATGCCTACTCTCAGATCTCGCTTTAGCACATTATGATCCTGAGAAAGAGATCATTCTAGCAACTGACGCAAAGTTTATACGGAGGGTGCTGCACTGCTACAAAATATGAAGATGGTACTACCAAACCTATCGCGCAAGCGTCAAGGACTCTTCTTCCGGCTGAAAAAATTATAGCCAGATCGAGAAGGAGGCTTTTGTCGATTGTGTTCGGAGTTAAAAAAAATACCACCGCTTCTTACATGGTAGATCATTTGTACTGCAAACGGATCATAAAACCGTTACTTTCAATATTTGGAAGTAAAAGGCATTCCTAAGATACAGCTAATCGCTTACGGGCGATGGGGTGTAACCCTGCTTAATTACCATTTTAGGATGGAATACGTCAAATCTAAAGAACATGGGCATGCGGATGGATTGTCAAGGCTGATTCCAAAAAAATGAAGAATTGTTAGAAGTGACGGTTATAGCAGCATTAACTGAGGAAAAAAGAAATCTCAGGTCTCTTATTGAATACAATCAGGGAATTGCCAGTAATATTGGACAGAATAAAAAAAAGAAGGGAAAAAGATCACTATATTGTGAAATTAAAAAACCAGACAAATTGGAACAAAAGACAGAAAAAAAAGGAACTCAGATTTCACCTTTTTCAATTTATGACAACACGTTGATGTACGCAGATAGAATTGTCATACCTCAATCGTTACGGACAGATATACTGAAAGAATTTCATACCGGTCATCCTGGAATGTCCCGGATGAAATCACTCATGCATAGTTACGTATACTGGCCGGAAAATGGACAAGGATATCGAAGATTTTGTAAGACTATGTAGAGGTTGTCAATTGGCTGCAAGGGCACCTCCGGTCAAAATGAATCCTTGGCCTAAAACGGATTTGCCATGGGCACGTCTACATATAGACTATGCTGGACCAATCAATGGACACTATTATTTGATATTGGTGGACTCTTTATCGAAATGGCCTGAAGTAGTCAAGTGCAAGCATCCTACATCTAGGAACACCATCAGTGCATTGGATGAAATTTTCAGTCGTTTCGGGTTCCCAGAACATTAGTTAGCGACAATGGTACGGAGTTCACAAGTATGGAATTTAAGGATTTCTGTACCGCCTTAGACATTGAACACATAACTACACCAGTGTGCCATCCCAGGTCGAACGGTCAAGCCGAGAAATTTGTCGACACTTTTAAAACGTGCTTTTACGTAAAAATAGAGGTATAGACACTGAAGAAAGAACTATTCAAAAGTTTTTAGCAATCTATAGGGTAACTCCTAATGAGAACAATAATGCGAAAATGTCACCTCTGGAAATTATGTTCGCAAGAAAAATTAGATCAATTTTCGATAGATTGTTACCCTATCAAAACAAAAAGTTGCTAAAAAAACGAAAAAAGTCAATATAAAAAAATACACACCAGGAGACGAAGTTTTTTTAAAAACTTTAAAAGTGGGAAAAGCTTTTGGATGGATGGCATAATCCAGAAAAGGATTGGTAAAAGTGGTCTACATGATTAAAAGTAATAAATTTATGTGTAAAAGACACATCAATCAGATTAGACCACGATATGGTGAAGAAAGTGAAAAGCGAAGAAGAAATTCTGATGGAAGTGTTATGATGCTTTTAACATGACACTACCCAATAGTGTATTGGAACCTGTATCGCATGAAACAGCCTTACGGGCTGGAAAGCGGAAATTATCTTCGCAAAAAAGGATCAAATTATGACGACTGAAAGAAGGAGCACACGTAAAGAAAACCAGTGGAGCGTTTTAGTCCGGATCCAAAAAGAAGACAATATTAGAAGCAGAAATTTTCAAAAGGAAGAATTTCAGCTTCGGGGGGAGGTGTTGTGATGAAATAACCTGACTTCCCCATTCACCATAAATGGACGTTCCGGTGGCCGATAAAGTTCGACCACAGTAAACAGTCCAGAGAGGATCAACAGAGCGACAACAAAGGTCTTCGTTGACTACACCATTCGGTTAGCTTACTCCTACTCTGTCTCTGTATTTTGACATTCCTACATTCCGATATAAAGTATTATTATTTAAACCACCACTCGGGTTTACTTTGTTATTATATCTTTTTGCGAGATATAACGACTGGCGACGAGATATAACAAATCTTGAAGCATCAGGCATTTGAATATGAACTCTTTTTTTAGTATTCCTTTAAATTAAGCATGAATCACCTTGTGGCATATTCAGCCAGTAAACTATCCCTTGTTAAAATGTGACACTTTCCCATATTAAACAGCCTTTGCATTGTAAGTATCACATATTTACTCTCAGTATTTGGTGATTGGATGTAGGGAGGTGTATGGTTAGGATTTACCCTATAGATGTTTGTTCAATATTTAACTAGTCTAACCATTAAAATACAATTAGTGTGTGTGTGCTAAAAGCATTTTACTTTTCTTTTTTTTTTTTTTTTTAATTATGTTTTGTGTAAATAATTATAAAAAAAAGTAGCTAATTTTTTTAAAATTGTTTCTGGCTTAATCAAGTTAATGAAGAAATTAATACTTTCTGTTAGGAAATTTACAACTTTTACTTATTTTGCTCTATTTAAAATCAATGACAAGTAATATGCATTGGGCAATGTCTGAATTTTGTATTAAAATATTTCCACTGCAGGAATAATTTTACTCTTTTGTTTTCTAGTTTTTTTTTTTTTTTTTTTTTTTTTTTTTTTTTTTTTTTTTTTAAATCAGAATCATCCCAAACAAGGCAGTAATGCCACCAAAAAAACAAGGTGTGTGGAAGAATTAGGAACAGAAACATTAATGATGAGCAGATGGACAGTCAATAGTGATTGACATTGCATTTACATGTCTGCAGATTAAATTTGGCTGGAAAGCATACTGCTCAAAGGAAGTTCCAAAGTGAGAAGTGCAAGAGACGAAACTGTTAGCATAGAATTTATGGCTACATCTAGCCAGCTCAACTGTAAATTGATGAATTAAATTAAAAAAAACTAGGTACCATAGTTCAAACAATTACCATGCAAGTATTTATAGAAAAGACATAGAGAGGCAACCTTATGGCAGTGGGAAAGTGACTGGAACTGAGCTGCCAGATCAGGATCATTAATATTGCAGATTCTTCTTTGGATCTTATCAAGGAACACAAGATAAATAGCAGGGGCACCAGACCATATGTGGCAGCAACATTCTAAGCATGGATGAATGGTAGACTTATTGATATGTAAAATAGATTCTGGAAAGAAAAAATTGTCTTGTCCGACATAGTGAACTAACTCTCTTAGCAATTCTGTGAAATTAAATAAAAAATAAATCATGCCCCTTAAACAAGTGATGTTAAATAAGAAATTGTGGCTTTGGTTGACCTTTTAATTTTTTTTTTATTTAATAGAATACTTAACGTATGAACAAAATGTATATTTTTAATATCTGAATTTTAAAATAAATTCAAATTTTGTCATCACAAAGTTGAAACTCATGAGAATATGAAAAGTTTATTGAATGAAGTTTATATTTTGAGATGATTCAGAACAAATGAAAAATAAGAAATTAGATGCAAGAAAGCATTTTCTAAGGATTTTCTTTATTTTAGTATGATTGTAAATTTATACAGAAGTAATCTAGTTTTTATAGTAGATTATCAAAAACAAAAAAAAAAGTAAAATATTGATATGTTGCCACTATTTGGAAGTGTCTGAAAAATTCTTTTCACCAGAAACTGTAGTGTGAAGTACCTGAATCAAAGGAATTGTGCATTGAAACATTTGACATGTGCCTATAGTGTTGCAGTTATTAGCACACGAAGTGAGATTGGCAAGCTGAGTTCAATTTCTGGCTGAGGCCATTGCATTCACTTTTGCACAAATACCTTTGAGAAAGGTATGTATCCATCTCTCCTCCCTCCAGTTATGGGTTAAATAGCAAGACAGACTGGGATTTCTAGTTTAGTTGGCAACCAATCTAAGAGAAGGGCAACTCTGAATTCAATTCAGTTGTGTATATGTGTGGCTAACTTTACCCTGTAAAATCTACTTCCTACTAAAACCATAGCTGCATGACCTAGCATAGTTTATCTGTGGCTCTGTTTCAAATGGCATCTACAGGTTCAAGAATAAGAAGAATTGCAACATATGTATCTGCCTTTTATATACCGATTCATTACATCCAAAATGCCATGTACTTTTCAACAATTTTTTGTAATATGTGTGAAGTATCTAATTTTAATGTTTTTGCTCTTTTTTGCACAGTTTCCATTTTATAGTTGAAGATTTTCTTTTCATTGCTTATGCAATATTTCTGATGTTTTTCTGTCAATAAATTGTTCTGTATTTTGGTAATCAGTTTTGGCCTTACTTATTAGTGGAGGTGTATATATCTTTAACATCAGTATAATCTATTTAGAAGTGAGTTAATTTTTCTTGTCTATATTTAGCAATTGGAATTATCAATAAATCTTCTAACTTGTTTTGTTTAGGTGAGTGAAGAACTCATCAGGGTAGCTATATTATGGCATGAATTATGGCATGAAGGTTTGGAGGAAGCATCACGACTCTACTTTGGAGAAAAGAATGTCAAGGGTATGTTTGAAACTCTTGAACCTCTCCACCGAATGATGGAAAGAGGACCACAGACATTAAAGGAAATCTCATTTAATCAGGTATTGCATGGTTTTATCAATTGTTTACTATGATACAGATTTTATAGATGCATTGTAGAAATTGTTTTTATTTCATGAATTATGTGAAATTTAAATTCTACCTAACGTGCAAGCATTGTAAGGAATATATTTCACTTAAGATTCAAGACGGTGTGTATTTTTTATTTTATTTAATTTTTTACCTTAAATTCCAAACTTTGGAGAATTGGTTAATCATTTGGAAAATGTTTTGTTTTTCTTCTATTCTATGGATAAAAAAAACAATCAAAAATGCTCAAAATGATATTTCATCCTCCACTTTGCTCTACATGCTCTGTAGGCTTATGGCCGGGATCTGCTAGAGGCTCAGGAGTGGTGCAAGATATACCAGCGCTCCCAACAAGTGAAAGATCTTACACAAGCCTGGGATCTCTATTATCATGTTTTCCGGCGCATCACTAAACAACTCCCACAGGTAAATTTATTTTTACTTTAAAACATAATGAATACTTAGACAAAAAGATATTAGTTATTCTTTTTAACAGAAATTTAAATTTTCTAAAATATATCATTTAGCATAATATTAGTCTGATAGTTTACAAAGTCTGTTCAGAAAAGACTTCTAAAAGCCTTGATTTTGTATAATATTTTTATATTTTTTATAAAATTATTATTTTAATTTGTGCAGCTTACATCTTTGGAGTTACAGTATATGTCTCCCAAACTTTTGCGCTGTCAAGATTTAGAACTGGCTGTACCTGGTACATATGACCCCAGTCAACCTGTTGTATGCATTCATCATGTTCAAACAACTCTGCAAGTGATTACTTCTAAACAGCGACCACGCAAATTGAGCATATATGGTAAAGTCACAGCTTTCGTCACTTGGTTTTCCTTTTTTATTAATGAAAATATTTAGTTTATTGATGAAAGATATTTTCTATAAATTGTAAAATTGATTCATTTGTTTTGCTTTAGCATTATATAATTTTATTTTTAAGTTTATATCATTGATGGATATTTAATCACTTAAGTTTTAAAATCTAGAATTGAAAATGTGTTGCCAAAATTCATGTAAGTTAATTTAATGATCAAGTTTTAAAGCTACGAACCAATGCACATAAAACCCTCTTAATAATTCTAATGTTTCCAATTACAGGTAGTGATGGCAAAGATTATGTATTTCTTCTCAAAGGGCATGAAGATCTTCGGCAAGATGAAAGAGTCATGCAATTGTTTGTATTAGTCAATTCCTTATTGGCCAACAATCCTAAGACATTTCGACGTAATTTGTCGTAAGTTCCTACCTTTTTGTCAACTTTAACAAATTATAATGCTAGTTCAAAAATGAGTAATGTCAATAAAATAAGTTCAATTTTTAATTTAATTTTCTTTATTTATTTTTTCTGATTTAAATATGAATATATTGTGTGCATGTATTAGTTGCATTTTTTAGGTTTTTAAACAAATAGTAATTAAGTCAAGTAGGATTTAATTATCAGCCATATTAAAATTACAGTTTGAACTTATTTATTAATAGTATTTGTTACTTGTTGTTAAGTTAAAAAAAAAAACACCTTTCATGTTAGGAACTTGAATAATTGAAACATTTTATACAAACCATAGTGGAGGAAAAGAAAAGGCTGCTGCTGCTATTTTGTCCCTACTAAGTTTTTTCATAAAACTAAGTTCTAAAGACAGTTGATTAATAACTTTAAGTAGAACAAATTGATAGAATTTTTCTTTTCCAGAATTACCCGCTATGCTGTGATCCCATTGTCTACAAACTCTGGTTTGATTGGCTGGGTGCCCCACTGTGATACACTACATTCTCTCATCAGAGATTACAGAGAGAAGAAGAAAATCCTACTCAACATTGAACATCGTCTCATGCTCAGAGTATGTTTTCATGAAATTGCTTTTGCTTGTCTTTATTGGTATTTTAAAATTTTTCGTTTTAGAAGATAAAATATACCAATTAAATTTGTATCTCTACTTTGTAGTACTTTTGTACTTATGGCCATATCATATTGAAACACTAGTTCTAATTATTAAAATTACAAAATGTAAATCCTAAATAAAATGATTTTTAAAGTTTTATGAAAGTTGATATTATACAAAGCTATGGACTTATAGCCATATCACATCAAACACCAATACTTTGGCAATATGAAAGAGTCATGCAAGATGTACTGAAATGAGTGACTGCTTGGGCATACCAGGTACTGTAAGCTTGGATGTGCAGGTAGTGGAAATCAGAGAGCCAAGTTTCAATTCCAGTTGCGTTTGTTATATTCACTTATGCACAAATACCCTTGGCAAAGGTATGAATCCACTTCTTTTCCCCCATCTATAGGTTAATTAGTAGACCTTATATCAATAAATCATTATCTCCAAAAATTCTTACAACCTAAAAATATTTTCTGGCTTTAAATAACCTGCAAAAGATTAAGCCATAAAAAACAAATCTACTTTCTGTACTGCATTGTTAAACCTGATTAAACAGCAAAGCCTTAAACTTAACCTCTCTATTCCATCAACATATACAACATTGTATCTTTTTGAAGAATTTATATTTTAAAAATTGTCATAATTTTTTAATTTATTGATAATCATAGTGACATGAATCATTTTATTTTTAAATTATCCTCATTATATAGTAAAAAATTAATACTCTTCTTTTTAAATTTTAACTTACTATTCTGTAATGTTATTTTTTTTTTTTTTAAATTTGTTCATAGTTTTACATTGCAAATATTCTTAATATAATATATTATTCTTTATATAATATTCTTAATTATACATTTTTATTAAAAGGAAAATTAGCAGAAGAAAATTCTAAATTGTGTTAAATTATATGCAAACTAGGATCCAAAGTTCTAAATTATTCCTATTAGTGAACCTTGCTGAGTTGATTCTACAATATATTTGGGCTCATTGTTTAGCATTTGTTGCACTTTGTAGTTACACTCTAGGTTATTGTGCAGGCATGGGAGACTTTTTTTGAGTTGTCAGCCCAATAAGAGAGGGCTCGTCATAAGGTGGGCTACACTACTAAAAAGATTCAATGGTAAATTTTATTTGAAGGTATTTCAGACACTTTTTAGTACAGAAGGCCATATCTCTCTCTCTCTATCTATATATATATATATATATATATATATATATATATATATATATATATTTTTTTTTTTTTTTTTTTTTTTTTTTTTTTTTTTTTTTTTTCAGAGAAAAAAACCTGAATATTTTCTGTTTACATATATCTTCCTTATTGAATATCATCAAGGTTTAAAATGGTGGGTGGGGAACTTCATCGTTATTAATGTATGTGGTTATGCATCTGTCTATATTTCTGAGATGAGGTATTATGTACATTATTTACATTATTCGGACTATTGTCCTCATCTTTGTTGCCATATTTATCACGTTTCGGCCGTTGTACACTCTGGCCTTCTTCAGGTGGTTGGAATGTTGAACTGAACCCTGTGGTAGACTGTTCTAGTTCCACACGCCATGTTTAATGGATGTCAGTTATCAGTTATCTCCTCTTAATTCCTCTCTCGAAGTTCTCCACTCCCTTAACTGGGTATTGAACTTACACTCTTTGGGTTCTGTCACTAGATCTAACCAACACCTTTATCCACTGTGCCATGTGTCTTTTTCTGGGTATTATAAACCTAATGTCATCAGCAATCATTTTTTACCAGTGCTCATATTGCAATTTTTGTTATTATTGCTTTTCTCTGGCACTCTTTATTACTGGTTCCCATATTGTATTCATTTCTATGCTTGGTCGGCTCAGGAGATTTTTGTAGCCTACCATATGTGCTGATTCCTTAAGTTTATGAATTTTCCAATGGTGTTCTTTGTCTATGATCTCAACCTGATCCCACAGAGAGCGGTGATCTCCCTTTTCTCTTCATATGCGGTCAGCCATTCTTGATTTTTCCACTTCCCCTTGTGTTACAGCTTTCTGGTGTTCTTGAAGCCTTACCTTAAGGGGGCGGCTTGTCTCCCCTTTATATTTCTTTCCGCAGCTGCATGAGATAGTGTACATACAGTCATGCTCTCCTTTATGAGGGGTCTTACTCGGGAGAGATATCTGCGAAGTGTTGTCCAGGTTGAAGGTTGTCCTGATGTTATATGGACTGCAGATCCTTTATATTTTCTCTGATAACCTCTTCACATAAGGCAGGTAGACTGTTTTCTGAGTGTTGTTGTCCTCCTCTTGTACCCGTCTATCCCAGTTTTTTGGGGCTGCTGCCATGTACCCAGGGTAGTTGTTACATTGTAGGGTACTACTTATACTGACCAATTCTTTATCTAATATCTCTGGGTTGCCACTTATGACTTTTGCTTGGTGTTGTAAGCAGCGGATGATCCCTTTCTTTACGCTGTATGGATGGTGGGTGTTGAAATTGAGGTACTGTTCAGTGAATGTCAGTTTACATTATATGGGTGTCTTGAACTCATGCTCTGCTTGAGATATTAGAACATCCAGGAATGGGAGTGTGTTGTTACTCTCTTTCTCCATCATGAACTGTATCAAAGGTCTTATTGAGTTCAAGTGAACTCAATAAGACCCTGGTGTGGCCAGAGTATGAAGGTGTCATCTACGTACCTTAACCATAGAGTTGGCTTTCGAGATATAGATTCTAATGCCCTTTCCTCAACATATTCCATGTATATATTTGCTATTGCTGGTGATAATGGCGAGCTCATTCCTGTCTATAAATGTGAGATCCCATTCCGAAGTGTATTGTTTGTGTGCAGAAAGTCAACATCTCCGTCAGATTATCTATTGGAATACTGGTCCGTTCTTCTAGGGATGAGTCAGAGGCCAATCTGTCTCTGACTACTGAGAGGGCTTCCTCTGTGGATACCTTGGTGAACAAACTCACCACATCCAAGCTCACCATCTGGTTAGATAGGATGGGAGCATCTTTGATTATTTCCACAAAGTAGATGGAGTTCCGGACATATGAAGGAGACTTTCTGATCAATGGGTCAATTATATCTACAAGGAAGCGACTCGGAGGGTGGCACACAGAGCCTTGGCAACTAACAATCGGCCTGAGTGGAATACCATCTTTGTGAATCTTAGGGAGACCGTATATGTTAGGTCGCTTGGTGTAACGCTGCTATAACTGCCTATACGTCTTAGGTGCAAAGTGATCCTTGTTCTTGATTAGTATCTGTGACAGTTTGCGTTCTGTTTTCATTGTAGGATCCTTTTTTACTTTGCTGTAGCTACCATTGCTAATGAGGTCTTCCAGCTTTCTTGTATAATCTGATTTGTCCATCACTACAGTCGCATTGCCTTTGTCAGCCGGTAGTATGATGTTTTCGCTCCTCTATAGGGATCCGATCGCCAGTCTCTCCAGTTTCATGATGTTTGACTTGGGGGTTTGGCCTTCTCCAAGGTCTGTCTCGCTTTCCATTTCAGTTCATCTGCCGGAGCCTGAGGGAAATTTCAAGGCCACCTCCTCGACTCTGGCAATGATGTCCAAGTATGGCACTCACCTGATGGTTGTGGTGAAGTTGAGACCCTTATTCAATACTGACTCCTCAGAGGCACTCAGCTGATATTGGCTGATGTTGATTAATGCTTTCACTGGTGGGTGATGGACCTTGTGCTTTCTGATCTTTCAATCTGTTTAATTTTTGTACTTGGCAAGTCTTGAAATCATGTCTGAAGGATTTATCCAGGTCATTTTGGATCCTTCTCTGGTCTTCTTCATTGGTAATTCTGTTGAAGAAATCATCGAGCCTCTGTATATGAGCTTGTAGTCTCTGTTTTATCCAATGATTGTACTGGATTCTCTCTCGGACAAGGGCATGTCCTGCTTTTTCTGCCACCAGACGGGCTCTCCTTGAATTGACGGGAAGTCTTGGTGCCAAGCCTGAAGGGATGAGTTGTAGATCTCTGCATCGGTTTAGGAATGTCAGATGGTTCGATATTTGTGTCAGTTTTTGGTAGGATTTTTCAATTTGTCTCCATATTTTTTGTGTATCGGGTCCATACCGATCCTTCAGTATCTGTCTATATTTCTAAGATGAGGTATTATGTACACTATTTACATTATTCGGATTATTGTCCCCATCTTTGCCGCCATATTTAAGGCAATGGAGAACTTGGAGAGGGGAATTAACAGGAGATAACTAATAACTGACATCCATTAAACATGGCACTTGGAACTAGAACAGGCTACCCCAGTGAGTGAAATAAAGGGTTCAGTTCGACATTCCAACCATCTGAAGAAGGCCGGAGCATACAATGGCCGAAACGTTCTGATAAATATGGCGACAAAGATGAGGAAAATATTCCGAATAATGTAAATAGTATGGTTATGTATGACAGTATGAGTGCACAAGTGAGAACAAAATGTAATAAACAAAATTTTAAGAAATGCTATTTTCCTCATGAAATCATACATGCCATTCAGAAAATCAAATGACTGGCAAGGTGCCCATGACTTAATATTTATTTCTTTATCAGTTATCGCAAATGAATTACAAATCTTAAATACTGATTTGCTTCACTCTGAAGCACACTGTATTATAGAATATGTATTAAGAGTAAAATTTCATTGAACAAATTTTGAATCCTTTAGAGTTTATTGTTAAACTTGCTTTTGATTTTGTTTGATTTACAACTTATTAGATGGCACCAGACTATGATCATCTGACATTAATGGAGAAAGTTGAAGTGTTTGAACATGCTTTGGAACACACCCAAGGTGATGACCTTGCAAAAATCTTGTGGTATAAGTCACCAAGTTCAGAGGTATGTGAATTTTATTCTTTTCTTTTTTGAATAATCATGAGTATCATTAAAATCTTAAAATAAATGCAGACTTCTTGTATATTTTGATTTCAATCTTGTTTAAATCTTTATTCCATGAAATATTTTCCTAAAGTATAATTAAATGTGAAAGAATCAAGGAAAAATGTCAGCTAGATATTTTTGATATTTTGGCTTTCATTCATTTTAATGAATCAAAAAAAATAAAATTTGATGCTAATAATCAGAAAGCTTCAGTTGATGAAATTAGTCTTCATCAAACACTGTCATGGGTATGATAATAAACTACATCTGGCAGCAAGGGCACTAATTGGGAGATTTTGAAGAGTTTGGCACCACCTCTTAATTGCTGTTGTTCCCAGGTCGTACCTGACCCAGGGTGGTAGCACCCATTAGGGTTCCAGCTATGGGCAAATAATTTATCCCCAATCTGGGATCAGAACACTACAAAAGGGTAGAAATACATTTTCATAGTGAAGGTGTCAAATACATTTTTGTGATTAAAATGTTACCAGCAATGCATTTTAAAAAATAAAAATTACCAACAATGCATTTTTATAAAAGAAATTACTAATACTCCCAAGGATTTAGCTAAATTGCATTTTTCACAAAACAATTTCATCCACTTCTTGTGTAGGACATTAAAATACTACCAGACATAGTAAACAAGATGGATTAGAATCTAATTGTTTGTATGAAGAAAACTTCACCTACATGCTGTCAGCTTATATGATAATACAAAATATCTCTAAAATTGCAGTATAGAAAATGCCCATTCATGAAAACCGATTCCCAAAAACTACAAGTGGGGCCACTTGTTTGCTGTGTGTGGCGACAGAATGACTCCTGATCTTGTATAAAATGACCAGGATTTTCCACAAAACATCACTTCAGTACCTACCTGGGTTAGATGGGTGGATGGAATAGCCCAATCCAATCCAATCAGCTAGTCACATAGTGGCAAGGGCTAGTTGGGATGAAAGCTGCAACATGGCTACAAATCCTTACACCATACTATACTTGGGTAGATATAGTGGGAAATGCGGGTGCTTGTGTTCACTTTCAGCACAACTATATCATGTAGCCCTGGTGGATCAAGGTGAATGTGATAAGTACAAAACAAATAACTCTGAAAACCTCAATCCAAAGTACAAAAATCCTTCAAGAAATAGAACCCTCCAAACATTCACAAGAGAATCAAAAAGTTCATAAAAGAAATAACCCCATCATTGAAGTGAAGAACCAAGAGAAGTGGACATAGATGAACAAAACTCTATCTCATCTCAAAGAAGGGACCGGTCATCATCCAAACAAAGATCATCAAAAGAACCTAATGGAAAATCTAAGGAAACAAGATCAAACAAACAAGCAGAAACAAAAGACGTTCAAAGAACAAAACATGACAAGAAACAAAATGCTAACAGGCCGGAGAGCATAGAAATTATTCACTTTTTACCCACTAAACATAAACTGGACAAGCAAAATCTCATAACACCCTAATACATAAACATGATGCAAAACATTATACAGTGGAATTGTCGCAGCCTAAATTAAACATAAATGAACTACTACTACTACTCATGACGAATCAAGTCCCTGATGTCATTTGCCTTCAAGAAACTTTCCTAAAACCTAAAATGATAAAATAAAATATAAATATAATATAACTATATACATGACACTCAACAGAGGGCATTTGGGGGTGTATCAATCCTAATCAGAAATTACATCCCCCCCCTCCCCCAAAAGTAAAATACTTCTAGAAACCAATCTCCAAGCAGTTGCTGCAAAAACTACCCTACATAGAATTGTTAACATCTGCTCTATTTACATCCCACTGCATGATCCCATAAAAGAGACTGATCTAAATAAACAACTATCGAAACCGTTCATATTATTAGGTGACTCTAACAGTCACAGTGTTATATGAGGATTCAAGAACTTATACAAAAAGGAAAAAACCTGGAAAATGTAATTAACGACAACAACTTATGTTTACTAAATGATAAGTCTAATACATATCTATATGCTGCATCAGATACATAATCAACTATTGAGTTATCACTGTGTGACCCCTCTATTTTTATGGATTACAATTGGCAAGTTCTCGGCAATTCATGTGGCAGTGATCACTACCCAATTATACTGAAGTGTTCAGAACCAGTTGAAAACCATCTCCCTCTATGTAAACTAAATGAAGCAGATTAGAGGGAATATAAAAACCAATGCCATCAAAAACTTACCGACAAAGATGGCAAAAAAATCTATTGAATATTCCTCTGAAACATAAAATGCTATCAAACCTTTTGGACTTTACATGAAAAATTTCATCAGCGAAACACAAATAAATCCAACCCTAATTCTTAAAACAACCAACTCAAAAAAAAAAAAAAAAAAAACATCCTGTAAATAAAATACTCTTTGATTCTGCTAAATCTTACTAAATACTCTAAAATTAATTATAACTTATCTGATTACATGGAAGAAATCCATAATGTTCTACAAACTCACCCAAATCATATGCATATATATATATACACTGATGGCTCTAAAATCTTGGACAGAGTTGGATGCCCTGCTATTCTTAACAGCATAACAATGCAGAAAAGATTGGCTGACAGAGCCTCAATCTTCAGTGCAGAAGCCTTATCCATTCACTTGGCTTTAAATATTATAGAATCCAGTGGGTCAGATAGATTCAAAATTAAAGGTATCACAAACTGACTTCTGACCCACCATAAAGAAGACCATTAAAGAAAAATGGCAGCAATTATAGAACAATTGTGTAAACAATAAACTTCTCAATATCCAACCAATCATCAGTGAAAGACAGTCAAGTTACAGAAAGATAAGCAAAGAGGTGGTCTAGCCAGACTCTATATATGACACACATACATAATCCACCAACATCTACTAAAAAATGAAGGACTGCCAAGATGTGTCCCATGCCAGCAAATATATACCGTTAAACACATTCTACTAAATTGCTGTAACTTCCACCAAATCTGAAACAAACTCTGCAAATCGGATAACTTAAAGGATCTATTTGAAAATACTGCTCCAGGTAACATCATAAATTTCATTAAAGAAATTAGGCTATACAGGAAAATATAAAAAAAAGCTGTTTACCAAATCTGCTTACCTACATTGTTTGTAACCAATTTTTGAAGGAAAAATTATTTCTTGAGAAAATCCCCCCCTTTACAAAATATGTCAATGAAACCTGATCTACAAAATGGTTCCTTACAAAGAATATGTACCCTATTCCTAAGAACCTATGTTGGCATTTGTTATGGCCTGTTAGGGGCCAGAAAGAAAGACACAGAAAGAAGAAGGTAGGTTGAACAAATGTATTGAAATAACAGAACATATATACAAACATAAGAGTGTTATTAGTCAGCAGATAGAAGTGTTCGTCTGAACTGTCAGGTTACACTGCGTCTCAAGTGACTGCCTTAGGAAGTCTTGCAGGTTAGTATTTATGAAAGAGGAAGAGTTCATTCTAATGTAGATAGGTCACCACAACAGCATTAAAGAACCCTTTGAGGTTGATCTGCTGTTAAACTAAATAAACCAAACCAATCATCAAACACAGTTGCAAACACAGTTTTGCCTTTGACTTCATCAAAAGTAATTTAGTCAACTTCAATCTTTGCAATCATATTGTAGTGCTTGCTGCACAGGCCTATATTTTTAAAACTATGACGTAATAAAAATATTTCAGCTACATTCGACTCAAATATTATTTAACCACAGATTTTAAATTGGCTGTAGTTAAGAAAATGTTGAATCAGCACATTATTATTATTTTTTTTTTTTTTTGCCTTAACATGTATATAAATTTAATATTATAAATTTATAAAATAAACTTAAAATTTATTCATCTTGCATCCATCATGAATAGACTTATTTTTGGCTTGAAAAATTTATGTTTATCATAGAGCATCACTTTTTTTTTTTTTTTTTTTTTCTAGGTTTGGTTTGACCGCAGAACAAATTATACTCGTTCATTAGCTGTGATGTCTATGGTTGGTTATATTCTTGGTCTTGGAGACAGGTACATATTTCTGTACAGATTATAGTCTAATAATTATGTTAAATCTTGTTATGACTTTCATTTTATTTGCAAAGGTGTTTTGATTTTCTTAATTTTGTTTTTACAAAAACAAAAAAACTTCCATGAATACATTAATACTGTTGTTTGTGCCTCCAACAAATAAAAAGTGTATTCATCTGATGAATTTATGCCAGTCAGAAATTATTTCTATTTGAGGGACATACAGTAATTCTGATATTTGGTCAGATTTTGGGAAGTGGTTTAGGCCAATAACTTTTCAGTACCTCCATTCCTATATAAAATATACACATGTATGCACTTGTCATAAAGTGCACAGATACTACACTCTCTTTCTAAACAGAAGTGGTGATCTCCATGTAAATAACCCAGTCATTTTTTACAGGTTTTATACTTGTGTGTGTTTTTTATATATATATATATATATATAATATTAGTGGTTAACACACACACATATATATATATATATATATATATATATATATATATATATAAATTTCCTAGAGGATAGAATCCAGGTATAACTCAATGTCCAGGACAGAGTAAGGATATAATAAAAAGGCTAAAGGCATTTATAAAAGATAAATAGATAGATACGTTGTATATTTGTTTAGATGAGTGTGTGTATATAAATGTATGAAACTGTGTAAGGTTTTATGTATATATGTTTATGTGCGTGTATGTGTATGGATATATATATATATAGTGTGTGTGTGTAAATATAAATATGTTGTTGGGTATATGTGTGTATATACGTATGTGTTTTTGGGCATAGAGATAGTAGGTCCTTGCTAGATTAAATATTTGTTAATTTTTATATGTTTATATTAAATTTGTCACCTGTAGTTGATATTACTTTTGTCAAATTTTCTTGATGGCACAGCAGCTCTTTTATAAATGCCCTTCGGTTTTAGGTGCCAATCCCCGCCCACATCTTCCCCCTTTATTCTTTTCTTTTCTCTCTTTCTCTCAACTTCTGAATTTTAAGTTTAGATTATATCGTCTTTTATTGTGCGTAGTGTCACCACAAATGTTTACACCTGTTTCTGGTGTCGGTTTTTAATTTAATTTAGGTCAGCAATTCAGTAATGAATTATGCATCAGAAAATAATTCATATTTATCTATATCTCACTCATTTAAACTGTCATTTAACTCCTCTCTTTAAAACTTCTCTCTGTTAATTTTAATCCCCACCTTCACTTTTAGGCCTTCCTGTTCTTCTTTCGTCTGTTACCCCTCTCTAGAGCTTTCATTTACTTTATATATATATATATATATATATATATATATATATATAAACTGAATATGTTCTGGATAATACATATTCCCAAAAAAATGAGTATTATGAATATTTTGCTGATTTGCTTTGAAAGATTTTCTGGATCCCTCCAGATTAATATTCAAAAAATAATCCTTCAAATATTATTGCATAAATAGTACTTTATTAATATAATACAATTTTGAAGTTATGCTTGTGTAAAGCTCTTTTAAAATTCTAAAATTTTATTTCACCTCTATATGGTTAAGGTAATGATGATGATGTTTGTTTTCAAAGTTTTTCTATAATTATTAATGTATTTCTTTGTAGACATCCTTCTAATTTGATGTTGGATCGAATGAGTGGTAAAATTATCCATATTGATTTTGGTGACTGCTTTGAAGTGGCAATGACACGTGAAAAATTTCCTGAGAAGATCCCGTTCCGATTAACTCGTATGTTAATTAATGCAATGGAGGTAAGGTTCAATATTGTTCTGATTCATATTTTAAATATCCATTATTACAATCAACTAAATTTTCTTTCATGTAGGAATTTGCTAAGCATCATATATTTGTATTTGCATAATATAAATAAATATATTATACATTTGTTTTAACTGTGCATTCATCAGAGGCTTTTGACCATTGCATTTTTTACAATGCAATTCAAAGATTTTATTGGTTTTTTTCCGTTACAAATTCCAGTATGACATTCTTGATTTTGTTTTAAGTATTCACTGTCTTGTATATAAATGAGAAAAAATAAACATTTGAGTTGTATAAATTATAAAGCCTTTTACTCTTATGTTTTTAATATTTTGTAGTACTATTTATAAAGTATTTAGTGCCAAATAGAATTCATTAAACTATTTAAAATTTTTAAAAAAGTGAACTAATTGTTTTATTTGTGTGTACTTCAGGTAACTGGTATTGATGGCATTTACCGACACACTTGTGAAAGTGTAATGTCTGTTTTACGAGAACACAAGGATAGCCTTATGGCTGTTCTGGAAGCCTTTGTGTATGACCCATTGCTTAATTGGAGACTTATGGATGGTATGTAAAATACTTTCTTTGCTCTTAATTTCACATACTTAACTATTAACTTAAAATCCTATTTAACCATAGTTAGATTGTAAATATCCATTGCAAAATATAGATTCATTAATTCAAAATTTAGGTTAGTTATTAGTTAGATAATGGATTTAAAAAATAAAATTTATTTAATAAAAAGTTATCATTATTTTACTTATTTTCAGAAGTGACATGTTCTGTATGTTTGCATAATTTTTCTTAATGGTATTGGTGATGTGATTTTTCCTTTTATTGGGATATATTCTTATAAATTATTAAATATTAATTTAAGCTGTGAAATTTGTGGGGTTTGGCTTTAATAATTATAAAACTTGCTGGATGTTTTTTTTTTTTTTTTTTTAATCATTCTTGCATATTAAGAATCTGGTGAGACATTGTCTTTATTTTTCTTGCTTAGTCTCTCTCAGACTATACAGCTTTTAAATAAGCAGGTTTTATAATTATTTATATAATGTATATACAAGAAGACACTATAATAATTATTACAGCACCCTCTTGTTGCTCTGCTTGAATTATTCTTGATAATTCTCAGTGCTGTTTGCATTGCCATCATGTATGGTCTGTGCAGCCCCTTCCCTGCATGATTAAGTTATGAACATCAAAGACTGTGTGCCTCATCTTTTGCTATGTCTGTGTGACTAGTTGTTGTAACCTAGGGAAGGTTACTGAATAGAATAATTAAACAAGGGTTAGTAATGAACGATAATACTTAGGATATGAAAAACATAAGATTCGCCAACAGCGCATAGAAGTAGTAGTCAACTGCTAGAAGTGAGTCAAGTGAATTCCACAATGAATCTCCAACATAAAGTACTTACTACTATATTTATGTGAATGAGGACATACCCATTATCGTCTGTAGGTATGGTACAACACCAGTGCTTGAACATTGACACAAAATTACAAATAGCTTACAATATAAATTAGTGTGTAAACTTGGAGGCAATGAGAAGATTTGGGAACTATGTTACATGCTGTTTACACATTCATTAAATAGAAAATGGAAGTGAATTCCTTTTACTGTACCAGTTGTATTGCATGTCTCTGAATTTATGCTTTTGGTATGAACAATAGTTGCGGTTTCTTAATGAAAAACAAATAAAATGGTTACAAATGCAAATGGCTCTAAAATCAGTTTAAGTCAAATCAGGAATCCCATTTTAGTTTCTCTGTCAGGTGGTTCACTTAAAAAGCTTGGTATCTCATTGTGAATCCCCTGATTCTATTATGAATGAAGAGTATATAGTTAAGACTAAGAAAAATCAGCAATATTTATTATGAGAAGGCCAAAGTTTTGGAATCCAGGTTATATCAATGGAATTGCTTATAGGAAAGAATAAAAACTTTCATTTTCTGTTTTTGTCATGAATATTGAGCTGTTTTTCCCCAAGCAAGAAAATGCTTTTTTTTTTTCTTTTTTTTTTTTTTGCACAAACTGTATGTGTCTTAGAACTTGAGATTGTTATAAACTTGAGAAAGAGTTAGCTTCAAAGCTGTGTTACACAATGATAATGAGAAAAAAATCTTCATTCCTGTGAGTAATGTTGGTAGGAGAGAAACCTTGATGGGATTCATTCTGAAAGGAGTTAATTACTAGCTTCACAGGTAGAATTTTCCCCTTATCCTAAGACTGCATTTGGGATATGCCAAAAAACATGTTTCTAGTGTCTATGGAACTGTTGCAATCATAATAGTCAAAAAGGCTAGTCTAAACATACAGTGTACAGCATATCATTGTTGACGGTTCTTGTTGCCGAGTATTAGGGTGCTCTTCGACATTTCCTTCTGTATGAAATGATTCCTATGTTGGATCTCAAGAGACATTCACAACCACTGCATGGTAGGGTAGGAGTGTTCAGTGGATGGCATGCTCTAGCTTTTCTTTGGGCTTTCTTCGTCTCTTGTATTTGTCTATTTTTTCCTTTTTTTCTTTTGGACTACTCTTCTGCAATTGCTTCTTTAGACATGAGAAGGAGAAAAGTTATTGAGCATGAAAGCCTTGGCTGTGAATTGTTTGATGCAGCCCATGAGTCACCAGTCCATGACACACACACACACACACACACACACACAGTTCCACTATGTTGTGGCAAGCCATGGCTTGACAGGCAGGTTCATGATGACAGTTTATATCTGGCTACCAACTTGTTCTCATATGTAGAACATCATCTTTACTACCTATCTATTGGGTTTTCAAATTGTACCTTCCCTGAATCCTTACTGCCGTGTCTGACCCTACCAGGAGACTGAGCTCCCAATGCCATTGCATCTAGCTTCCTTGTAATGTGCAAGCTCCTCCACTACGACACACTATATACACATTATGCCCATTGCATGTTTTAGAAACTCTATAAAATGAATGTTTTTTCTTTTTTCAGTAGATAAAATGTTAAACAAAAGCACCACAAAGACAAATTATGAAATAGTACATAAATAATGAAGCATCAAAATAGTACATAAATAATGAAGCATCAAAATAGTACATAAGTAATGAAGCATCAAAATAGTACATAAGTAATGAAACACAAATATCGAAAAGGTTTGTTCATTTTAGAAACAGATAGCAGAAACAAAAAATGAAAATATATATTGGGATTTAAGCCTCAACTCAAAGATTCTAAAGTCATTATTTAACAATTTAAAAAATCTCAATAACTGGAAAAAGTTAAAAGAAATAATAATGAGCAATACATACAAGTTCAAATTAATAATCATATATATAATAAATAATAATTGCAGATTATATTAAATTATTATATTGCTTTTTAGCATTATTTACATTTTTCAGTTAAACTTAAAATTTGTTAATATTTTTGGAGCTTTGTCAAAATGCCTCATTTTTCCTTGAATTCAGAAAACATAATCTATACAACATATACCACTGTTTGAACTGTAAAAGATCTTTCTGCTCCTTCACATTGGCCTTCTGAAGAACTTTGTATGAAGTAAAATTTAGTGTACAGAAAAGTGATGCAAAACTTAAAGTAGCAATTTTTATTTGACTTTAGATAAAAAAAAAAACTGAATCCACTTGACATGGCAGAATGATATTCATTCATGCTAATTCTACAGAATTTCTTCTTGTCGGATAGAGTTGATAATGATACTGATTTAATAAACAACATACTAATAGCATATCAACTAATGGGATGCAAGATGCTGCTTAAAATTCACTTTTTGATTTCTTATCTCAGATTTTTGTTATGGATCTCTGTGCTCCTAGCATTGAGTGAGGGGTTCGGCCAGTGTATCTCTCAGATGGAATTTGAGATATGAAGGCCAGGTCAACTCAGACCTGATGGGTGACAATAGCTGGTTTTTATAATGGCAGGCCAGCTCAGTGCACAAGAGCAAGTCTGAAAGACATTTCTGAAGATAGCAGATTTTATATTTATTCAGTTATTTCCCATTGTCATTTAAATTTTCCTTAAACATAAATGCATTATAAACTATTAATATATAAATATGCCATGTGCATCTCTCAAAATCATGACATATTAGAACATAAGGATTCTGAATCAGTGTACTCATTTTAATATAGCATCATTTGCTCTAGTCAGCAGAGAATGAATAATCCCAATTTTCAGTTAATGTGTAGTTCATTCCTTAGTGATTTCTGACAATTTCAATTTTAAAACACTGATTACAGCCAGTCATTTATATTACAATGGTAAATGCATTTAAAATAATTAATGGAACAAATTTATCCATTTTAAAGAACCATGCTTATTATTACATGTTACTTGGCATTGATATACAAGGGTGGGCTGAAAAGCTCATAGGTTGACTATGAAGAAGTGATGCTATAGCTGAGAAATCTTGCATGCATTAATTTCAACTTTTCTTGTTAATAACTGCATTGTTTCTTTCCAGGTAAACTGACATCTGACTGTTCAAAGAAGACTTTTCATCCATTGGTCAAATAATTCATCAACAGCAACATTGATTCTCAGACAAGTGTTGGGGAACAGATGGTAGTCAAATCAGGAGAATAGTGAGGACGACCAAACAATTTAAAACCACTCACACTCAGCAGCCATTGAAACCTAGGACTTGTGTGATAGAGCCATGTCCTGATGAAACAAAACCCTTTTGTCAGTTTTCCTGATAGTCTTTTGTAATTGTAGTGTGATAGTGTGGCGCTTTTCAGGATAGTCAATAAACTCAATGCCTTTTGCATTCCAAATATACTGAGGTCATCACATTCCCTGAAACTACTTTGGCCTTCTTTTGAGCAGAGAGGAGGGCTGTTTCCACTGCATGGATTGTATCTTTGTCTCTGGTTCAAAGTGATGAACCCAACACTCATCTTAGGCTAGGAAAAATTCAAGGAAACTAGCTTGATTTGTCTCAAACTGTCAGATTTATCAATGATGTGATTAACTTGTACACTTTTGATCAGATGTGGAATCCACTGAGTAGAAATCTTTGTCATGTCAAGTTCATTGTACAGAACATTGTCAACTCTCTCATGGGACATGCTAATAACATTGGCTATTTGGTTTATGGTCAATTGCCTGTCATCCATCACTATGTGGGGATCACAATATTTTTCTCAATGGTGGCAGTTGCAGGATGTTCAGATTGTGGGTCATCTTTAAGACTCTCCCTTCTCTTCCTAAATTCAGCTGCCCAATTTTCTACTGTTGATAAAGCTGAGGTACCATTTGCTAATGTAGTAACTATGTCCTTGGGGGGCTAAATCCTATTTTCACAGGTACTTGATAACAGCATAATGCCAAATTTTGCCCATTTTCAAAAGAATTTGTTACTTTGACATCTTCTATGATCAATCAGATGTCAGTTTACCTGGAAAGAAACAATGCAGTTATTAATAAGCAGAGTTGAAATTAATGCATGCAAGATTTCACATCTCTAACATCACTCCTTCATAGTCACCTTATGAACTTTTCAACTCATCCTCATATTTTGTATATTTGAAAAAATTACTTTAATATCATGCTTATAGTTTTTTTATAAACATAACAATATTACTATTCTGTTTTCATCCAAGCTCCTGTGATCAGAACCTAGAGGTAATTTCTGGAGTCATGCAAAAGATATAAGTACCTGTCTGTAGCTAAAATACAAGTACACAACTGTTTGAAAATATCTTCTGGGAATTTTTTTTTAAGTTAGGAATAAATCTGAATTTATGTATTCAGCTATTTGCTCCTGTATTTTTGTTTTGATCATCTTTAGAAACAGCTTTGTTCTGCAAGAAGTACCTACATTTATGTACATTTTATAAATGTGCCTATATGTGTATCTGTTAGAGTTATCTGTATGGAAAGTGGATTCAGTAAGCAGAGTTCAAATTCTGAAAGTTTCATGTAAAAATTCTCTTGGAAAAGCTTGAATCTATCCTCCAGCTATGGGTTTAAATAGTAGAGCAGGCTAGGAATTCTAGCCTTGGTTTGCAGTCAGTCTAGGAGAAGGAAGACTAATTTCAAACCTCCACTGTCTTGTGATCATATCCAAATATGGAAAAGCCTGTAGAAGACAGAAAATCCAGAGTACAGACAGCATTGACCCATCAACAACTCCTGCAACCAAGGTGGCTCCAATCCCCCTGATTATTCTCAGTTTCCTTGAGAGTGGAGCTCTGTTGTCTTCTGGGGAAAAGCAAGGCCTCTACTCTACACGCAAATCATTAGTGGCCTACTGACGGCAACATCAGTAGTCCTTTGGTGGCAGTCACTGGTGGACATCTAGTGGTAACATTGCCAAGACGAACACATCGGTGGTCCCACAGCAGTCCACTAGTAGTAAACGCTAGTGGCATGCCACCCAGTGGCAGATTGGTGGCTTGCATGTAGGGTACACAGTATTGTTCAGGCTTTGGAGAATTCATTCCAGTCTTACCACTGATCAAGATGCTACCATATCTCACAGGATAGATAGATATTTCAGATATCCAACATTGCTTGGAGAAAAATAACTTAAAATATAACACAGGAGAAAATATGTTCTTAAATGTATTTATTCTTAGATAACATATCAAATGAAAAATACTTATTTACATATTAAAAAAAGTATCTTTTACTGTAAAAAAAATGATTTAGTCTCTTAGTTTGATAGGGCTTCTAGGTATACAACACTTCTATTGTCAGTCATACTTTCTTTTATTTTTATTTGTTTTTTTTTTTTTTTTTTACATTGTACCTTCTTTTTTTCCTTCAAATTTGTTTGTTACCTTTTATTTATTTTACTTGATAATATAAAATATTACATATCATGCATATTTGAAGATACATTAAATGCAACCATTGTAGTAATCATTTTAAGTGTGATTTTTGCCATGTTTTTAACACCAGTTTACATGTATGTCTGCTCTGATCTTTTTTCAGCTAATGATAAACCAAAAGGTAAAGCTGAGACACCTGAATCAATTGCTGGAAGTCAGGAAAGAGGTGAGTGGGAATTAGAAATATCTACAGTCTTTTTTTTTTTTTTTTTTTTTTTTTTTGCTATTGGTGTTATTCTTTGTTATTGCTCCTATTCATTTGTATCTTTACAGACTTTCATTTTAATTAAATATTTCAGTATCTCCTTGAGTGGGGAATTGGTGGCTGTACTCAATCTTATATAAATCCTTTTCTTCTCAAACCTTCTTGATTTTGTTGGTTAAGATGAACAAAATGTGTATATATTTGTCATAAAATCATGGTGAAGCCACTTTCTGCATTCGTTTGTGTTCTTTTGCATCTTCTATACAATGTATATGTTTATTATTATTAAAATTTAGCCATTTTTAAGAAACAAATTTAATTCCTCTATTTCTGAAAACATCTTAGCTACAGAAGTGATAGATTTTATGTTTGATATTATTTAATTAAATATGCTTATTTCTTTATACACAATAATTTTTGTTAATTTACTGATTCAGTATGATGATATTCTGAAACTGAATATTTCATATTTTATACTGTATTGAAAAATATTGACACCTTTGAATAAGATAGAAAGCTCATTGTTAGAGAAGAGATTCCATTAAGTCTTCTCGGGTGTGGGAAGAGGCATGAATACTAAAAAGAGAAACCTACATGACTTTCCTGATATTTAAAATCCCATTTGTATTACTTATAATTTGTAATTATATTAATAATGAAAACTGACATTTTTCTCCGTAATTTAATTAGAGAAATTGATTCAAATCACTCTTTCTTAGAGGAAATGAATGTTTTTGTTTTTTTTTTTTATTTGCCTTTTTGGACACTGAAAAGGAATAAAAGAATAAATAAACTTTTGGGGTCAAGTGACAACAAAGAAAATATTGATGATTTCCTGTTGGGAATGGAGTAGTCAGTTCTGGTCTGTCCTTGTGGTGGTTTCAATGTTGTCTGATTGTTTTTCAGTTATGCATAATGCTGTGATTGGCAGATAGTTGGTAGGAGAAAGAGTGGAAAGGAAGATCTGATTTGTTATTCCAATATGACAGTTGGGCCCAAGTGTCACCTACTTACCTAGAAAAGTGTTAGAATTCTCACTTCTTGCTGTGACATTGGTTTTCATTTTTCATTTCCTTTTGAGTTTGCAGCAGGCCCTTCCCAGTTTTTGGTGCACACTGACACAAATGAGAACAGATGCAACATGGGATAATTATTGGCTGGTCAGTGGAAAGCTGAGTGATTGAGATCTGTTATGCTTACATAGGCAGTATGAGATAAATATTTCTTATATACAAGATTTGTTTTATCTTTAGAAAGCAAAGACCATTATTTTTATTTTTCCAGACTTGTATAATTTTTCTTTCACTTTATCAGGAAATTTTAAGACACCATGTTTTCTCCTTTGATAGTCACTAACATAATTTCCTGAAGTATTTTTTGTTTACTGTTTATATCCATTACTTTTTCTAAGAAGTATTGAATTTTGTTTCATTGTATAAAGGTGAACATATGATGGAAACTGTTGACTTGCAGACTACACACAAGAAGACTAACGGCCTTAATGCAGGCGCTGCTGTCTCAGAAATGGTCCACTCTTTCTCCATTACAGGTAATTATGTGTTGAATATATTTTGAAATTATGAATAAATTTAATAATGTCAAATTTTGAACACTGAAAATTGGCTAAAACAACCTGTAATAACTAACAAGTTGAGGATGTAAGCTTTTTTTTTTAATGTTACTTGTTTCAGACTGTTGTAAAAATATTTTTCAATTTTCTTTTGCAAATTGAAAATTGTAAGTTAAAGAAATTCTAAAACCTTCAAGGGGAAAGGCTTTTTTTTTTTCCTTAAATGGTTTTTAAAAATTAAATGAAAGAACTCTTTATTAGGATTTTGTTATTTTTAGCACTTAGTAAAATAATTTTAATGATAATCTATTTTTATATTTTACTTCTTAGCAAATCATAACTACAATCCAGTTTTTCAACCTTGTTTTGATGATGAACTGAGTCAGACCTTGAGCAATGTTTACAGACTAAAAAATAATTGAAACCAGAGAAACTCACTTTTAGTAATGAGTAATAGTTTTAATTTAATATCTTAAATATTTGAGGGTAAACTGTCAAATTAATAGGGACTTTGATGCTCGCTGTTGTTCATAAGCTCACCATAATTTGGTTATACAGTAAAAATCTGCCCACCATCTTCAAAATTGTTTTCCTCTTTTGTTGATTTTCAAATTACGGCAGAATCAACTCTTTGCTGTTAATAGATTCAAACCCCACACTCAAATTACAATACGCTCTGTTGGCGGGGCTTCAGAATACGCTGACTGCACCTCTGCAGGGGGTAAAAGTCCCCCAAGGGAGCCACCTGTTGGCCGTGGGTGGCGACCCGTGAAGCCTGGGGACGTGATCCGGGTGCAAAGAGGTCATGGTCCTGCAACACACCACTTTGGCCCTTACCTGGACTAGACAGGCGGTCAGAGGGGCCAATCAATCGGCTGGTCAGGTCAAGCCTAACATCTACTCTCACAATTTAAAAAAAAAAAAAACACCATCTATCAAAATAAAATACTTAAGCTCTAAATTTCTATAAGTAACTAAGCAGTAGATGTTAGAAGATGCTGGCTGAGGGTCAATTGTCACTGTTGAGACCCATAGGCCCAGACATGGCTGCAAACCAGCCACTTGTGCACTGATGTTATGGGGTGGTGAACAAGGTGATGTGACAGGTGCTCTGGGTCTCTCACGCTGATGAGTATACTGATTGTGTAGTCCCTGATCCGTCAAGGCGATAGGGTTTCCCCCTTGACGGATCCCAATTGCGGGCTCCGACATGGATAGGTGGGTGGGGAGCACAATCAAAGAATCAGATGACACATTTAAATGGAAAACAAACAAAAACCCCTCGGCAAATTAATTTCCAATAAATCCATTAAGAGACCACATATGGATTCCGACTCTGAGGAAGACCATAACATTATGGAAAACTTTCCCAGATTCATATTAGAATCTATGGAAGAGACTCCATTGACCAAATTATCCCCTTTTCTGATACAGAAAGTAATATCCCCCAATGTTCCCACTAAAACAGAGAAGAGCATCTGAAACGGAACACTACTAATAGAGGTAGAGAAGAAGAAACATGCCACCTCCCTCCTGAAAATGACCAAATTTCATAATGTGAAAATACAAGCCTACCCTCATCAAAAATTAAATTCCTCTAAAGGAGTAGTGCGAAGCAGGGAACTCACATTATGCACAATTGAGGAAATTAAAACAGAACTAAAAGGCCAAGGAGTAATTGATGCGAAGAGGGTCTCTATAAAAAGGGAAGGAAAAATAATAGAAATTAATACATATATTTTAACTTTCAACACACCTATCATACCAAAAGAAATAAAGATTGGGTATAATATAGAAAGGGTGGAACAATTTATCCCTAACCCTCTTCGATGCTATAATTGCCAAAAATTTGGCCACCATGAGGATGGATGCTGTGGATGAACGGCATGTGGTAAATGTGGACGAAGAGACCCAGGCCATCTTACAAATGAATGTAAAGAAACAACTAATTGCACAAACTGTGGAGGAGATCACCCCTCCTACTCAAGAGAATGTGATGCATTCAAAAAAAGAAAAAGAAATTATGACCGTGAAACACACCAAAAACATCTCCTTCCCTGAGTCTCATAGAATAGTGGAGGGATATATGAAAGGGAAAAACATACTCACAGGTTGCAAGAGAAACAACAACCAAACAAGATAAATATGAGGCGTTAGTAGAGAAACTACTACAATTGGGACCAAATGACTGGCCTCGGTTCATACAAGAAATCAAACCAGCTATAACAAAACCTAAAGTTACCCTCATAAAACAGCACAACAAAGAGGAAGGGACCAAAGAAATAGCAACAAGATCAATAGCAATATCCATTTCTAATTCAAAGCAAAAGAACAACAATTGCAAAGAACAAATAGAATAAGTAATTGAAGAAAAACCTGAGGGTACAAACCCAATCCAAATGAAAGATAACAAAATTACTTCTGCCAAACAAGAATCTACACTATCATCCATATCCAAATCACAACCAAAAAAAAAGGAAAAACAAATACAAAACAAATTCGAAGCCTTAGAATCAATGGATGTCAAAGGAGAGAATCCTCGACTACACACAGGAAAAAAAGATGAACAAATACAGAACCAATTTGAAGTCTTGGAGCCAATGGATACCGAGAATCAGAATCCTTGACCACCCAAACTAAAACAGCTTTCAAAATAAATAGCTTACAGAATCCTCCAATGGAACATAAGAGGTGAGAAGGTCAACCATTGCGAATTGATGCTTCTCATCGCCATTTTCTGCCCAGCAGTCATATGTTTACAGGAAATGCATCAAAAATCAAAAGACTCACTTCACATTAAAAAATATACATCATACAACTACATAAATGATCAAAGAGATAGCCTCAGGTGGCTCATCAATTATAGTTAATAACAACATTGCTCAAAGCGAAATCAAATTAAAGACAAAACTGCAAGCAATTGCAGTATTAGTAACACTACAAAAAACAGTGACTTTCTGCTCACTATACCTACCTCCAAATGATACACTGGACAAGAGAGAGCTGAATGAACTGATTCGACAATTACCTAAACCCTTCATACTGATGGGGGATTTTAATAGTCACAGTGAAAGGATACAAACAGAAGAGGGAAAATAATAGGAGAATTTTTAGATCAGAACCAATTATGCCTTTATAACAACAGGGCTAATACATATCTGCACCCAGCAACTGGAACATTATCAGCCATTGACTTAAGAATATGTGATCCCAGCATTTACATGAATTATCACTGGAGAGTACATGATGAGACCTGTGGAAGTGACCACTTCCCTATCATATTAGAAGGCCAGGACCCAGAAAGGGACAATAAAACACCTCGATGGAATATTCAAAAGGCAGACTGGCAAGGTTTCCAAAATGCATGTCAAGGAAAATTGACACCAGAAGCAAATATAAACAAAGAGGATGATATCACATACTTTACAAACACATTACAAACAATCGCAGAACAAAATATTCCCAAAAGTTCACCCTCTTCTAAATTCAATAACCCCTGGTTTAACACACAGTGCAAAGTAGCTGTGAGAGCCAGACGAGCATCCTTTAGGAAATTTAAAAATCGTCCAACCAAAGAAAATTTAGATGTCTATAAAAATGATAGCTAAGGTACGCAGGACCATTAAAGAGGCTAAACAATCATCATGGCAGTAGTATGTTAGTAAAAGGAATTCAGACACTAAATCTAAAAAAGTATGGGACATGATTAGAAAAATTTCAGGGAAAAACAACAGACAACCTTACCAACATATCAGCCACAAGGGCACCAGAATTACAAATAAAAAAGACATAGCTGAACACCTGTCTGAAAACTTTGCTAAAAACTCCTCCTCAAACAATCCTGAAAAATAAAGAATTCCAAACAATCAAAAAGCGCGAGGAGAAAAAAGAAATCAGTTTTCATTCAGATAACTCCGAAACCTATAACCAACCATTCACCTTAACAGAATTACAAGACACTTTAAAAAAAGCACATAACACAGCTGTTGGTCCCGATGAAATTCATTACGAATTCCTAAAGCAATTGCCCAGAAGACCAAAAAAATACTTACTCAAAATCTATAATGATATCTGGACTATTGGAAAAATCCCAAATATATGGAAACAAGCCACAATAATTCCTATGCCCAAACCTTCCAAAAACCCTACGGATCCAATGAACTACCACCCTACTGCACTCACCAGCTGTGTATGCAAGACTTTTGAAAGAATGGTGAATAAAAGGCTGGTGTGGTATCTGGAAACAAACAAACTGATCACAGAACATCAAGCAGGTTTCAGAAACAAGAGGAGCCCTATTGACCACATAGTAAAATTAGAAACATACATACGAGAAGCTTTCATCCCAAAAGAACACATTGTATCAGTGTTTTTTGATCTGGAAAAGGCATGAGATACAACATGGAAATATGGGATAATGAAAGACTTGAAAGAAATGCCAATACTGGTAAAAAAATTTTATGAGTGATAGAAAATTCAGGGTGAAATTTGGAGATACCCTTTCAGCTTGGAAAGAACAAGAAATGGGAGTGCCACAAGGCAGTATACTCTCTGTAATACTTTTTTAATATAAAGATTAACAGCATAATTAAAAACATTAATACCGGAACAGAATGTGCCATATACGTAGATGATCTAATGATATGTTATAGAGCAAAATATATGCGCACAATTGAAAGGCAACTTCAACTAAGCCTAAACAAAATTAATAAGTGGGCTTCAAATAATGGATTTAGTTTTTCTAAAGAGAAAACCAAGTATATGCATTTTTGCCAACATCGTAAAATGCATAATGATCCTATACTGAAGCTTGGTAAGGACACAATAACTGGGGTTAAACAATATAAATACCTTGGTATTATCTTTGACCAAAAACTCACTTTCATACCCCATATTAAGTCCCTGAGGAAAAAGTGTAACAAATCTATCCAACTACTGAGAGTCATAGCTCATACAAACTGGGGAGCTGTTAAAAATAAACTTCTGAAATTCTATCGAACACTAATAAGATCCAAACTGGATTATTGCTGTTTCGTTTGTGGATCAACAATGAAATCATATATCAAAGAGTTGAACACTATCCATCACCAAGGGCTAAGATTAGTAATAGGAGCATTTGCCACTACCCCAGTCGAGAGCCTGTACGTAGAGGCACATGAACCACCACTGGTAATGAGAAGAGGAAAATTGGCATTACAATATTACATGAAATTAGCATCATGTCCCTCAAATCCTACATACAAGTGCATCTTTCAGCCACAACACAGTTTTGTTTGGGAAAAAAGAAAAGGCCCTCAAACCATATGGACTACGAATCAAACAAGGTAAAGATGAAGCTGAAGTAGATATATATCCATAATTCACAAATCTGTTAGCCTGAAATACCCACCTTGGTTGGCAAAACAACCAACAATAACACTTGACTTAATCAAGTAATCAAAAGCAAAAACCAACCCAATTATATACCATGAAGAGCTTCAAAGTATTAAAGACAAATACCAAAACCACATGGAAATATATACAGATAGTAAAACCTTCAAAAATACTTGAATATATAAGAGAAACTGGTCTCTATAGCAAAATCTAGAAAAGATTGAAATAAACACAAATATACCAAGCTATATATCTCCATGAAGCTGCTTACTTCAAGATGCCTACTCAAGCCAAGAAACACATTTAACTTAAGATTCTTTTAAAGTCACTGAAAATCATTTTCGGCATAAAGTGACCACTAAGGTTGGAATGCCGTTAAACAACCAAACCAAGCCAAATTACAATAGTCTTCCTGTTCAGTTTTATATCAAAGAAAACTACCAGCTGATCATTGTAACTAAAGCCTGCAGATAAAATTCTTGCTTTTCATGGCATCATTTCTTCAATGGAATATGTTATAGAGATATTTCCTGAATTTTTATTTATTAATAAATTAATGCAAGTTATACATGGTAACATCACTGCCCATGACATTGAGTCATGTCGGTTTAATCTGGCTTTATTAAATTTTCTCCAGCAGTATGACATTTTGTTTTTCACAATCTTCCATGTAACTTTTATCATGAAAATGTTATTCCATCTAAAACAGCTGGTTATTTAGTGTGTGACTGTTTTTGTAGAACCTGAGAGATGCATTCATTTTGTTTGGGTGTTTCATTTCTAAATTACTGCAATGTTTTGTTGTTTTCAATGAACTGTGACACATTGTGGCATAACTTTGTTTCTTGGCACAAATGACCTGAAACCAATTGAACTTTTCTATTGTGATTTTCAAATAAAAAAACAAGTCACTAGACAGTGGTGGGGATAATTGTGTAATGAAGAACAATGAATATGATTAGCTCAGTAATACAAACAGTGAATACATTCACACAGTAAATTTCAGAAGCTAGAATGTACATCACAGTGTGCACATGAACACTTGCAGGTCAACACATGGCAGCCAAAAGATCAGGTGTCACAACAAATATATATTATTCATTTACTTTGTCTGATTTTCATGTTAAAACTCAACTTTTTTTACTCATATCTTTAGACTGTGGAAACCCTTCATAAACTAATTTATGTCTGTGCACTGGAGTTTGACATAATCCATCATATTTTTTATTTTTGTTTTTTTATTTGCAGTAATGAAATGATTTTTGCAAATAAAAGCTACTTTATTATAGAATTAATATTTTTTATATTTATAAAATCTGCAATATTTTTTAAACTATAAATTATAGATTCTAATTACTTCTGATCATATCTATTTTTATAAAACATTAGTTCTGTAAAAATCATTAAAACAAAATCTGTTGAATCTTTCAACTGAAAATATTGAAAAAATATTGACATGTTCTCGTTTTGTTCTATTTAACTATTTTAAGGTTGCCTGAGTTTTTTATTTCTTTTTGTTCAGATGCTGTTCAACCTGAAGCATTGAACAAGAAAGCTATATCAATCATAAATCATGTCAAAGAAAAATTAACTGGTAAGTTATTTTATCCTCCAAATTTTTTTTGCCTACTTGAAATGTTTTATAGATTAATGTAGTGATGCAGATATCTCTGAAAATATGCTGTATTTGCTTAAACATATCTATCTTAAGCTCCTTTAATAGAAGACTTTTTATTTTACTTATAGGAATCTGCATTTTTCTTTTTTTAGATATATGAATTCGTACTTAATCAACTTAATCATTATTCTATGTGCCATGTCCCTTCGTAATGTGGTTGATCATGGCTCTCCCTGTCTTTTGTAGCTCTTAGTAAGGGCTTTTTGCTTTCCCTCCTAATTCCAGTTCTGCCAACCATTTACACAAGCTCATTAGGTTGGTTATTCACTGCATTCAGTATGTCCTGTTAGTGTCTGATTATCCTCATTATGTGCACTATGGATTTCAATGATCTTCATTGTATAAATGTCCTTTTTGTTTCCATTTTACTTACTCATTAATTCCATGGTATTCTTAGCATCCTTCTGTAGAACATTTCTGTTATCTTAACTCTCTTATCTGTGAGGAAATTGTCCAGCATTCATTGACTTATAGGAGGACCGATATTACATAACAATTCAGCACTAATGAAATTTTCCCGTTCTTTAATACTTTGCTTAACTTTTGGACAGACCAAAATTAAATTATGTGTATTGATAATAACATCAGGTTGAAGAAGGTTTAACTATTTTGAAAAATCAAACTGAATTTTTTTTTTAATAGTTGCATTTGATTAAACAATTTTTGGTTTGTTTAATTTGATATATTTGTCATGAATTATGCATAAAATATTGTAAGATGTTTGTAAACTAAGCTGAACAGTTGCAAATAAGTTAGATTTAACTCCAATGCATCAGAGATTAACAACTGCGTACATATCCCCATTATTAATTTTGTAAAATGGAAACCCTAAATGATTTTTAAAGTATAAATTTTAAAATGTCGATATCATACAAAGGCATGAGCTTATGGCCATATCATGTTGAAACACCAGTCCTCATATGATCAACAAAGTTAAGCAATGTTGATGAGCTTGATCAGTACTTAGGATGGTGTAATGGATAACGGCTCAGAATTGAAAATTGGAAGGCTGAGTTCCAATTCTAGTCAGGTTTGTTATGTACACATATGTGCAAATGTCCTTGGGAAAGGTATGAATCTGCCTCTTTTCCACCCAGCTATGGGTTAAATTGTAGAGCTTGTACCAGTAAATCATTATTATCTCTAAAAATTTCTTACAGTCTAAAAAAGAATATAACCTGCAAAAGGTTGATTAGCCATAAAATAAAAATCAATCACTCAGAAAAAAAAAAACAATGTTATGGTGAAAATAACTCAATGGTGCAATACATTTCATAAACTATGAACAGTCTCACTTGACAAACTTTGTTGTTTTATGCTATTTCTTTTAATCATTTTGTAAGCATGTTTTGTGTCTAGGTCGTGACTTTTCTAAAGAAGAAGCAGTTGAAGTTGCCAAGCAAGTGGACTTGCTTATTTGTCAAGCAACATCCCATGAGAATTTGTGCCAGTGCTATATAGGATGGTGAGTATTAAGTATTTTTTGTTTTTAATTGCCTCATAATTTGAAGGTTATTATTGATTGTCAGCCAACGCGATCCATAACTCAGGCCTGGCAACTATGCAACTAGGGTTCACAACTGGGGGCAGACATGTGTAGACCTAAATTACTACTAAATAACAATCTCTGAGAATATTTTTAGCAAGGAACTTGTTAGTAATGCCTGCTAATTATTTAATTAGCAGTTATACATAATATTAGAAAGTGGCTTACAATTATTGACTTATTTCCATAAATGCAAATGTACAAAGAACAAAAATAAGCTCCTCTACCATAAAATAACTAAATACACAAAAATCACTTGATTTGCCATAAATTAGACATTTTTAGATGATATTGCCAAAAATAATGAGTTAATTTGTTTATACCAATTGATTGAAGAAAATATAAATTTGTATAATACATTCAGAAAGCAGTTTCAACATTTTACAAAATTGTATCAACAAAGTCTGAAAAATGCTTGACAAAAAAATGTGAATTTCAGAGAAACAATCAATTACTTTGATTATCTTTACCAAATTTATTGATTTCTGTTACATGTACAATTTGCTTCACAGAAGATGAAGAAAATACTTATCTCACTATGATACAATAATATATATTACCAGTAGAGATGAGCAGTTTAACTGAAAAACCGATTTTTTTTTTTTTTTTTTTTTTTCCAGTTTCAGTTTCTTCTTCACACCATGAAACCACATTGAAATTTTTTATGCAACCAAAATTGTTCGATTTAGTGCTATCACTACTGAGTGGCCATATCCAAAGAAACACTAATGAAAAAGACTTTTTGATGTTGATAAAATTTGATTTTATTAACATTTATACCATTGTAAGTGAAAAAGATTGAAGAAAAATATGTTAAAAACATTTAATTGACTAGTTTTAGGAAATAAATGTAAAATCTATTTGTTTACAAAAGAAATGAAGAAGAGAAAAAAGAAAATATGACAGATATGACATTTGGAAATCATAGAATGTTTTCAAACAGAAAATGATGTCTGAAATCTATTTGTTTCAGTTTAAAAAAAAATTGTGGTAAAATTAAATTAACAACAAAATAGTGAGTAAAAATAAAAAATAGTTGCCAGTTTCATCTTAATGTTAAATTTTATGAAGTCGGATTTTTTGTAAGGAACTAATAATTGTTTTCTAGTAAACCAATACACCAATCATGAAATAAAGTTGTTATAAACAAGAAAAATGAATGATTTTTTTTTTTTTTTTTTAATAAATAAATCTGTTTTTTTTAGTTAGTGAATACACTTAAAATTAAATATTAAAAAAATAAAGTAAGTTTTAATCTCATTTTTAAAATGTGTATATTTTCAAAACTGCAAGTCATTTTTTTTTTTTTTTAAACCCAAAGTAAAAATTATTCTTTTTAGCCACTAATGTTTGGTGGGTGTTTTACTGTTCTGCATATAAAATTCTTCTAAACAAGGAAAATTAATTCATTTTATTTTTACATATATCTTTATGGTTTTATCTAGGTGAATACATATTTAAGATTAAATATTAAAATGATTAAAATAGTTTTTAATTTCAGTTTTAAAATGTTTATCTAAAAAAGAACAGGTGATACTTGCAGATTTGGAAATATAAACATTAAAAATGAAATTAAAAGCTTTTAATTATTTTTAATATGTAATTTTAGGTGTATTATTTGCTAGATAAAAACATAAATTTATTTAGGGGAAAAATAACTTGTTTTCCTTGTTTAAAAGAAATTTATTTGCAAAACCTCAGTAACAGTTGACTGGCATACCAGAAAAAAATTGCCATATTTTTAATTATTTTAAACATGAGGGGTTTTATTTTTTGGATTTCTAATAGCCACATCATAAACTAATTTCTGGAGAACTATTCTATTTTCTCTCTCAAATGTGTTGTCCAAAGACACAAATATAGATATTTTAGATGATTTCTTTCGTATTTTACCAATTTGTTAATAAATATGGTAGTTATTTATAGTTGATAATTTATTCAAAAATTTAATAAATAAACCTTAATCTAAGTCATGAATTCTATGACTAAATTACCTTTAAAGCCTAAAAATTGACTTTATGTGAAAAATCCCTACCTTATTACCTTACCCACTCGGATTTGTGGTTTTCGAGTTTTCAATTCCAATGGTCTTTATGCATGTCTATAAATTTTTATTACCCCTGCTTAAAAATCAAATATTGACCCCTTACGTACCAGTTAACAGACATCCGCAATGACAGACATTTCAAAAAAGTTGAAAGTCGAAAAGTATATGGTGCGTTTTTTTTTTTTTTTTACACAAGACAAAACATCTTGCAAATGTCATATTTGCAAACACGACATAGTAGCTTATCAAGGAAACACATGTAATCTATGAAGTCATTTGAAAAGATACAACAGGAAAGAATATGACAAAATTCAAAAGAAAGTTGATAGCAATGCCGATGTTCAACCTAAATACAAGTCATCACTATACTACAGGCAAGCATTTTTGTCACTAATAATGTTCCTCTTTTAAATGAATGATGAATCAATTAAAGAAATTGGTACAAATTTTAAATGAATAATGAATTAATTAGTAAATAAGAAAATGGTACAAATATAGAAGAGAGCCCATAGCGGAATGACTGTAGCTGATAATAGTGTCAAAAAAAAAAAAAATAACTAAAGTGTGGCACTAGTTCTAAACTAATTATTTGATTATCTTCAAGATATGCCCTTTTGAATTTTTGAGCTTTTCATTTTTTTTTTTTTTTTTTTTTTTTTCTTAAAGAATTATCAGCAGGCATCAGCTTCGTATGCTCTTTTAATCTACTTTCTTCGCTGGAAAATGAACTTGCTTTTAATCTGAATTCTTAAGTAATTTTCTTTTACATTAAATTATGTTGGGTATTTTTCAATAAATATGTTGCAATGAAATAAAAGTAGAGCTTTTATTTTAATTAAATGTGTACTCTAAATTGAAAAGGCTAAGTCCCCCCCCCCCCTATAATGAACTATAATTTTCTTCATAATTTTTGGGTGAAGAAAAATTAAATTTTTGGAAAGAGAATTCAATGAAAGAACACATAAAAAAAATAAAATGAAAAAAGTCGATATTATGATAAAGTCAGTAGGTCATCTTACATTTTTAACTTGTAAATAAGAAAAAATATTTATCCTTTTTGTTTTGTCTTTTTTGAAAATATCTGTTTTTTTTTCTTTTTTTAATATATAAACTTGAACTTGTTCTTTATATTAAATGTAAAAGAAAACAGTAAAAAAGATAATTTTTCATTTTTTTAACATTTAAAAATTTTTTTTAAAGTTACACACTTTTTTCTCCATTTTCTTTGTACATCCTTAGCACTAATATTGAATATTACTGGTTAAGTTTCATTCAAGAAAGTTTTAATATTTGTGAAAGCAATGATTTAATGATGATAAAAAAATTTAATTCAGCTTTATTGCTTTTTTAAAAAAAAAAGTAACTTTTTTTTTTTTTTTTTTTTAATGACTTTTAAAAATGTGAATGTAGATTTTGCATCTGAAAATTTAATTAAACTTTTTAAAAGAAATCTTGTCAAAATAAATAAAAACAAGTCATTAATTTATGAAAGTGTTTCTTGGCTAAAGTACTTATGATGCTGGCCTCACAGCAAAGTTAAGTGTGTGATGGTGGGAGGGCTGTCGTACAACTTTACTGAAAATTAAAAACTCAAAAACTGAATCGAAAACTGCAAGGGAAAAAAAAATAACCGAAACATAAATTGCCAAACCAACCAACTCTAATTACCAGTATACATAGTTTTAATAATTAAAATCAGTTTACATTAACAAGAACACAAAATTAATTAATAGGGTAATTTGGGGGGTTAACCAATTAAGTATATGGAAAAAGGGAGGAAATTGATAATAAAAAATATCTGGTAAATATTTCTCTGAATGAGTAAGTATGTATATATTTTTACTACTTGAAAAATATGAATTTTTAATACTGTAGTCTTAATGAGAATTATATAAACATTTTTATCTTATAAATAAAATTTTAATATAATTTTAGAACTTCTAGTGCTGGTTCTTGATTTGTACTTGACAATAAAATTCCATGTTCTAACTAACAAAGATTTTTGTCAAAGAAATTCTGCAAGTCTTCAATTTAACAACACCAAACATTATGAAACAGAAAAACACCCCTTGAACTGTGGTATCCAGTGGAATTTTTAAATTTCCATGATCTATATCTTAAAAAAATATCCATATTCTTGTATATAAAAACTAGTATTAAATATTTTCTCTTCTGTGTTACAATTTTTTTTTGTAACATAGCCTGCTATATACAAAAGTGACATTTTTAATATATTTAGGGATTCTAGTTTCAAGGTTTAGTAAGTTATCAAATATTTGGCATAACATTTTGAACTTTTATAAAATATGCACCTCCAAAATTTTGTCTTAATTTTCCAAATTGAATTTCTAAATAGTCTGTGATAAATTCACCAAGCATAACAAAATTAAACCCACTGTCTAGCAAATAACTGCAAACATCAATTAAACCATTGTATATATGTTCAATGGCTTAGTCTATCTTGATAATGATTTCATTCTTTTTCCTTGCTTTCCTTCCATTCTTTTTGTCATGTTCCCCAAATTATTAAAAATAATTTTTTTAAATTTTAAGATTTTTTTTCAATGAATTTAACTGTTTCTACAGTATCCTCCCCATTTAATAATGGGTGTGTTTTAATGGCAGCTACAGTTTGATCATAAAAACTTTTAAACAAGGGGAAACATTCTGTTGCTCAACAGGTTTTAGGTAAACTGCTACATTAGTTAGTTTCAACAGCTTAACAAATTGAGTTTTTCATACTCAAAATGACATTTTACAATTTCCCATTTTGCTGTCATCTTTTTGCCTTCAGAAGTAGATTCTGTAATCCAACTATTCTGAATATTTTTAAAAAGGTGGCCATAATGAAAAAGTAAGTACGAACCATTTTTAGTTATCCAAAACAGTGTCAAATGTTTTTAAAAAGATTGATGGTTCTTATTGTTATTACACACAATTGCAATGACTTGACCATTTAATTGTTTGTGATATAATCAACAATATATAAAACATTGTTTGTGATATATATCAACAATATATAAAACTTTTTTTATACAAAAAAGTTGCATCTGGGATCATTTTAAGTAAAATTTTATCCATCATTTAAACATCTTACCACTATACCCAATACTGTTTTTGTCAATCCCTCAGAATTTTCAGCCAAACCAAATAAATTTCCTCCAGGATATTGTAGTGCAACTTTGATATACACTTCATCAACTAAAAGAATACACTTTTTCTGATTTTCAGAAATTTTACTAAAAATATCACCAAGGAAATTATAAAGTCATCTAATTTTGAGACTTTTGATGCTAACGCTAATAATGTTCTCACACTGAGTAACTTTAAATGATCCTGAATAATGACTGAGATGTAGCAAAATATTCAAATGCCCTGATAAGAATATCAGAATCATAATGTTTTGTCCCAATCCTTTGTGGTGGCATAACATTAAAATAACGAATTGCTTCATTGATTTGTGACCAATGGTGAAACAGTGATATTTGACTTTTTGAAAGAGAAAAAAATTGTTGTATATATCAGCATGGTAACATTCGAATCTTGAATTTTCGAAAATTTTAATTCAATCATTTGTATACCTTCAGTGAATAAAAAA